CATGCCAGCCATAGCAGATGCTCAGGAAACAAAAACTGTGCTCAATGAATGACACAGCACCTTCAACATGAGCTACACAGGCGCTATCCTGTTAATCGTGAGACAGAACTGTCAAAATCCACAACCAGGCAATCTAATGCTGTAATGCTATTACTCTGTTAATAAGAACTTACATTTATTGAGTTCTGACTACATTCCAGGTACTGCGCTAAGTGCTTTACATATATTATTCTCAGACAGGCCCAATGACTGTCTCCATTTTAATAAGGGATATCCCCATTTTAGACAGAACAGTGACTGATTATTTGGTAAATGACTGGTTCTTCCTTGTCAGTTAGGTCTCTGCCCAAAGTAATGTCTAGAGAGGCCTTCTCTAATCACCCTACTTGAAAGTCCATCCAAACTTTCTACTTTCTATCCTTATACCTCACCATATTTTTACTTTTACAATGCTCCACGAACTAGAATTGTCTTGCCTACTTACCTATTTACCGTCTGTCTTCCCAACCAGAAGGCAAGTCCCTTGAAGGCAGGGATCTTGTCTAACTTGTTCACTACGATATCCCTGGCACTTACCAGTGCCTGACGCACATTGAATGCTCAATAAATATTTACTGAATGACTCATTCAATAAATGACATAATGTAAATTACCCTCAAGTGCATTTACTAATTCTTTTTGTATAACGAAAATTAGTTGCCATGTACATATTTAAAAAAAGAAATTATAAGATAGTAGTAATTAAAAGCATAGGCTCTGCAATCAGAATGACCAAACTTTGAATCCTGGCTCTTGTCACTGTATGATCTTGGACAAATTACTCCATCTAAACCTCGGTTTTCTCATCTATAAAAAGGGATAACATCACCTACTTAACAGAATGACTGTTAGGAAACATTATATAATTAAGTATGATTTTTGAAATAAAGACAGCAATTATTATGCCGGCTACTACAAAAATGCTAGTATAGAAAATAAATGTTGAGCTAATTAGAATATTATACTACCCACGAAAGTCCCAAGGAGAGGAAATACAAATAAGCATGAAAGAAAAAAAGTAGACTAAATTATGGTATCTCTTTATAAGTGAAATAAGGTGAGTGACCTTTTGATTCTATATCATGAATTCCAGTAAAACTGGCATTTTGAATAATGGGTCAACATTTAAATGGAGGTCAGCAAGAAATGAATTCCCTTCATTTAATTTGGGTTAGACATTGTCTTGGGATGCGAGTAATAGCAGTTTTTTTGGTCTAGAAAGAACCTGTTCTGTTACTAAACAATTTTTAAATTATACTTTGGGGATCCCTCAGCTGGTTCAACAGTGAAGATGCTGTCCCCCATCAATAGTCTTACTTTCCATAGTTAGCCTAAACTTATACCTCAAGTTCAGAGTATACCTTAGACCTTAACTGATCAGCACTAAATATGAGTGTGACGGCAGGTACACGGTTTTATTTTAAATGCTAAGAATGAGAGCGGTAACAGGAGGAGGGAGAAGCTATAAAATCATTAATTCCATAAGACCAAAACTATCCTGAGGGAGAAACAAATGTTTTCATACGTGCTTAGGAGAAAGTAATAAATGGGAAACAAATTATTCTATTTCATATGTGTGCTTAACGGTGATGTCTCCTCCCTGGCCCTGACTTTCACCCCAGGCTACAGCTCCACCCCAGGCCCAGAGCTTCCAGCACTTACAGGATTTAGCTTCAGTTGCTCCTTCCAGAGCCCTTCCCTGACACTCCCAAGGCTGGTGACATGTTCCTCCTCTGAACTACAATCACAGGACATCTCATACAGCATTTATCACACTGTAGTAGTTTAGTCGGTTTACTTTCTGATTCATTACTGCATTTCTAGTAGAACTGAAGGGGGCTAACCAGCAATGATTAAGGGGCAAATGTGTTGTGTAATGACAGATTTGAATCTTAAATCTTTTACTATGCTTCCCCCAAAGTTTCAGAAAATGTCAGTTTAGGTTCAGAGAATTTTCAATAAAATATGGAAAAGAAAACTAAGAACTATATAAAGCATAAAATGTTTTATTATATACTTTGTGTTTTCCAGACTATTAAGTCTACTTTAGCTAATGGACATAAACCAATAAATGTATCTGTTTACAAACTGTATCAATAGTAAATGAGTTTCACCCCTCCCACTAAATATATACTGAATTACATATTTAATGAAATATCATCCTGACATTGCACCAAATTCTTAGTCTACCTATAATCCTCAGTCTTGACCCTGATCCCAGGACACAGCACTAACACAAAGCAGGCCTGCAATAAATGATTTGTTAAATGAATGAACCAAAAAAATTGTTAAAGCATGTGACTGATATCTTCTTATATTAATTTCATTACCTGCATACTCATAAAACCAAGCCAGGCACTTCTTGCTTGAAAAATGTTCCTCTCCACTTATTAGTCTAGCAGGGGGTTGGGATCTGCAATAGCTTAGAAAACACACAAATGCCTAAGAATTTTATCAAGTCTCAACTTTCAGTGAAAAGCTAAGTTCAATATGAACTACTTCAATTCAAAGTAAACAAAGTACTTTTTTTTTTTTTTTACAGCTGGTATTATAGGAAAAAATCGGAGTTGTTCAGTATTTGCAATTTGAAACAGTAGTGTATACGTAAAATTTTCTTGCTAACAAAACCCAAATGCTACTTTGCTCACTATCAAAATCCAAAAATATCACCTAAAATCATTTCCCCAGATTTCAAATGACCACATGGAAGTTCAACCTAATGGTCTCAAGACAAGACTAGTAGTTGGGAAAGTATTAATCTTTACAGTGATTCTTCTGCTTTGTATGGAAATTATATTTGTGTATAATATGCATGCATTTGAAAACAAAATCTTATAAAATATATTTTGATACTTAATGAGCCAATATTTTTTAAAAATCATATATTAACAGCTGTTTATCATCTGCCAAACTTAAATAGGTATTTAAAGACAGAAGATGATTTAGGACCCAAGAGTATAATTAAATCCCACAGATTAAAAACAAAAGGTAACTGTAAATATGAAAATAATTGTACAAATAACTGGGCCAAAGCTATTTAATCCCAGAGCCTATCTCTTTCACAAATCACTAAAGGTTGGGAAGTTCATAAATGGTCTTTAGAATTTAATGAACTTCAAGGAGCTCAGAGAGTTACACCACCACAATGACCTAGAAAGGCTACAACTCTAGCTACTGAGCAATGTCATAAATAAGGGTACCATACTTAACATTTTAAGTTGACAGAGCAAAATATCACCTGAGTTTTAACAACACTGGCTGCTTGGCTATTTTAACGTGCTTCATTTAAATAATTTTGATATGTTATGCACTTAAGACGTCTACAAGTTAGAGTAATAAAAAACTAACTCGCATGTTTCGTAAAACTATGAGCTGGTGGAATGGCGCTGTCGCATTCTAGTGTGTCACCAAGAGCTGTAAGAAAACCTTATCATCTCTCACACTAATAGCCCCAAGATATCCTCAGCGAAAACGTAAAAAATTCCGTCAGCTAGGAAGGGAAGGAAGACGCAGACCAAGTAAACTGGCTCCCTCACTTCGAAGCAGCCTCGGTAAGGAGGGCTGTCATTGCCTGTCCAGAACGCTGACTGCAGTCCTCTGTGAATGGCAGCATCTGAAGTTGTTCCATCAAGTGCCACGGTGATACCGTCGGACACCCAACGAGATTTAGGAAGAGCCACTTCTCACACCTGAACTGCAATGGTTTCGTGCAGCACACAACGTTGCTGGGATGCCTGCTGACACGCTACAGTGGGATCGAAGAGCTCGATCACGGCTCTGCTCTGGCTTCTTTTTCCCCAAGAGGGTACTGAGCAACCTAAGTCCCAATGTATTAGTATCTATACCGAGAGCTAGCAGCATCTGGAACGCTAGGAAATAAAACCGCAAGCAGGGCCTTTCCAACTCTGCACGCAGGGGCCTGGCGCAGGTGGACGCACTACCCGTCCAGGAGAGGGGCTTCCTGCCGGGACCTTCTGGCTCTGGCCCCTCCAAAGACTCCATCTGGGGGCCAACTACAGCACAGGGAGCTTCGCTTCTACCCCCGGCGGTTGAAGGGTCGACATGACCCGAGCGCCGCTCCCTTCCTCGCACGCTCCAGAGGCTCTGGAAGCGACCCTTCCGCGGACCCGGACTCACTTGCAGGCGTGGACGAACGTCGGGGCGGGGACGGAGCGAGTAGGGGGCCAGGGGCAAGGGGCGAGGGCGCAGCCGCCGTGCGCAGTCCCGTCTCCCCACCCCCAGGGCACGCAGAGCCGCAGGTGAGGCGGCTCCCGCAGCCCCTCCCGGGGCGCACACGCCGAGCACGAGGTGCAGTCGGGCGCAGAGCGTCGCGGGGTCCTGCGCCCAGCAGCCGGCCTCCCGGGGGGGCTCGCGTCCCCAGCCCGAGCCCGGAGCCCCGGAGCCCCGGCCCGCCTGCTGCTCCTCTCGCCGCGCAGCAGAGGAGGGAAGACGGAAGGGGGGAGGTGATACCTGGAGATTTTACACTTTTTGAGGCCTCCGTCTTCCGCCACGGCCGCCGCCACCCCAGGGGATTTTCTCTTCTTCTTCACCGGCATCTTCCGCCCTCCCCGGCAGGGCGGCCAGAGGAGCCGGGGCAGGGGGTCGCGGCCCGCCGGAGACGCCTCAGAGCTGGCAGCCGGCTCCCAGACACAGCAGCAAGCGGAGGGGCAGAGCCGCCAGCCCGCGGCAGAGCGGCCCAGCGCGGCCGCCGCCCGCGCCCGGACCTCCGCCCCGTCCTCCTCTGCTCGCGGCCGGGGGCACGCCTCGCCGGTGGACACTGCGGCTCGCTCGCACCGGGAAGGGAGGACGCGGACAGCGCGGCACCTCCAGCACTCCACGCTCCGCGAGCGAGAGGCTGGCTCTGACCCGGATGCGGACCGCCCCGGGCCGGAAGTGACGCCAGCGCGGCGCTGGCCGCCGGCAGGGGCGTGGCCGTGCGTGGCCGTGCGTGGCCGGGCCCGGCGCTGCGCGGGGACTGAGTGGGCCGGCGAAGGCCGCCGTGGGTCGCCCGGTGCCCCGGCCTTTCTCACGGAGCCTCCCCCGGCCCTCGTGCTGGGGGGCACCCCTGGTCCTCTGCGGCCCAGCGCGAGCCGCGGGGCACCTGCCGCGTTTGCTCCGGGGGCGGCCTGGAGCCCCGGCTGTCGCTCTCCCGGCGTCCCGGTGAGGGGCACCGCTGGCGGCCGACCTGGCGAGGACCCCCCCCCCCCCGCCGCGGGGGCGGCGCGCCTGCCCCTAAAGGTCACTGCCGGCGGAGGTGCCCCCGGCTGCGCGGCGGGGGCGCGGCGACGCGGGGTCCCGACGTCCAGCCCCGGGGGCGCGGCTCCGGCGGCCCCGCCCGCTCGCCGGCGCGGGACGTGCCGTGGCCTTCGTGCCGGGCGGCCGCGCGCGTCCGTGCCGCGAGCCGCAGTCGGCTGGCCTTGCGCGCGTGTGGCTTTTCCGGTGGCGCTCGCGCGGAGCGGTCGTCCGGCAGCGCGCTGTCCCGTCAGCCTCGCGTCCCCGCGCTCCGTCCGCGCTGTCCCGAGCGCTAGGGTTTCTCCGTAGTTTGGGGCCGAGCAGTGTTGCGTTGCGATAGACACGGCTCCGTCGCCCACAGCCTGGTTGTCCGCTCACGGGTCGGTGGGCGTTTGGGTCGCTGCCGGGTCCGGGCCGCGGGGGGAAGGGCTGTCTGAGCCGGTGTCTGGCCCCTGACGCGCGGATCTCGGCGGCCGCGCTCGTGCGCTCCCTTCGGTTTGCTTCGTAACTTGCCCTTTTCTCGAGCTGACTCGGTTGTGTTCGTACCTGCGACCTGTGCAATCCGTGTTCGCCGACCGTTCGAGGGACGGGCCGGGCCGTTGGGCTGTTGGCAGTGATGCCTCTGGGGAGTCCGAGGTTACAGAGAGATTTTCAGGTAAGCGCGGGGGTGTCGGTGCTTCTAACGCCCACGTTGTTCAAGGGTCACCTGCATTCCCACAGGTGCAGCTGCTGGGTCGTACAGTAGTGTCATTTTTCTTTTCTTAAGGATCCCGTCTAGCCTTTCCCGGAGCGACCGCGCCAGTCTGCATTCCCGCCGACATCCATGCACTTGCCGTCTCATCTGTGTGACAAAGGCCCTTCTAACAGACATGGGGTGGTAACTCACTGTGGTTTTAATAATGCGTGCCCGTAATGCTTAGCGACACAAAACAGCTTTTCGTGTACCTGCTGGCCTTTTGTATATGTTCTTTGGAGAAGTGTCTCTTCAGTTCTTTGCCCGTTTTTTAATTGGGTTTTTTGTTTCCATGCTGTTTGTTGAGTTGCGTGAGTTCTTTATATGTTTTGGATATTAACCCCTTATCAGGCATATGGTTTGCAATCTTTATCCCCATTCCATAGATTGTCTTTTCACTTCATTTTGCTACGCACAAGCTTTAGTGTGATGTAGTCCCACTTATTTTTTATTTTGTTGCTTATGCTTTCAGTGTTACAGCCAAAAATCATCATGAAGACGGTGTCAAGGAGTTTTATTCCTGTTTTCCTCTAGGAATTTCATGACCTCAGGTCTTACGTTTAAGTCGTTAATCAATTCTGAGTTAATTTTTTGAGTGGTGTACGATCAGGGTCCAGTTTCATTCTTTTCCATGTGAATATCCAGTTATCCCAGCACCATTTGTTGAAGAGACTGTCTTCTCCATTGAGTGTTCTTTAAAGAAGAAGAAGAAGAAGAAGAAGAACTCCTCTTACACAACTACAACTGCTTCTTGCAGACCTAAGGAAGAGGAGCCCACCACACCTGGACGTTTGACTGGATAGGATCTCACTTACGTCTATGGAATTCTCTGGGGGGAAGAAAATGGAAGACCGTATGGTATTCACTCATTAAGTTTATTACTCACACAATACTTAATGATCACTTAAAATAAACCAGGAACTGTGGTGGGTTTAGGGATATAGAAAACAGGCGTGACTCCTTTATTCATGGATCTTACAGTCGGGGGGAGGATACATGGGGCACACTTGCGTTTAAGCGAATTTTAGGAACACAGAATAGGGCCAATAATCTATGCTTATCAGTGATATTAAAGAGATGATTTCCAGGGTCATGCAGACCGTTTTCTTCACTGTCTTCTTTGATCAGTACCTACTGTCACCACCGTACCTCTATGGTCAACGTGGACCATTCCAGTTACTCACAGAAGGGGCATCACTGCCCACGAGCAGTACATAAGCATCGAGTTAGGTGGTTTTAATCTTTTCTGTTGCTAACACATGGACAATACATTAGTTTCCATCAAGAAGGCACCTACCATAGAGAAGTAAAGTATGACACAGTACTCTGGTTCTTTTTGTGTGGAATTTTAATGAGAAGGAAGGGGAGCCATGAAGTATTTACCTTAAACAGAAACTCATGTGTTCTGGTTTCAAATCCAAAGACACCTAATGACTTTAGGTAAGACATAATTGCCTTTATCCTTCATTTTATCCATTTTATTTATGTTACATAGAAGGATATAGAAAAAAACAACTAAATATCCATCTAACACAGCAGTGGACGTCTATTCATACCAGACAGGGCAGTAAGCAAAAGGACTGAGCCAGAGCTCTGCCATCTACTTAACATCTTGATTACACACGCATCCCTTATCTTTTGAAGGTTATAGGATGAAGTGATGAAAAAGATATTTTAAAATATTGCATCTGAATCAAGGCAGCCAAAAATGGTCCCTTAAAATGTGTTAATTTATATATTCTGTACACAGTTTATTTTTTCTTAACACCTCTTTAAAATAGGGCATTGGCACTTGCCAGAAAAAGAAGCAGCACAAAAATTAAACGATTTATGGGATGCCACATAGAATTTTGGTCCCGGATCTACATAAATACTCCTTTCCATACATTTATGTTCAAAACAACCTTGCAGGCCAACATTTTATGAAATATCTCCATACACATAAAACAGAGAAAACTTTTTTTTTTTTTTAAGATTTTATTTATTTATTTGACAGGGAGAGACACAGCGAGAGAGGGAACACAAGCAGGGGGAGTGGGAGAGGGAGAAGCAGGCTTCCCGCGGAGCAGGGAGCCCGATGCGGGGCTCGATCCCAGGACCCTGGGACCATGACCCCAGCCGAAGGCAGACGCTTAATGACTGAGCCACCCAGGCACCCCAGGACCACAGTTTTTGTGTGTTTCTTAAGATTTTTATTTATTTATTTGACAGAGACACAGAGAGGGAACACAAGCAGGGGGAGTGGGAGAGGGAGAAGCAGGGGGAGAGGGAGAGGGAGAAGCAGGCCTCCCGCCGAGCAGGGAGCCCGATGCAGGGCTTGATCCCAGGACCCTGAGATCATGACCTGAGCCGAAGGCAGATGCTTAACCAACTGAGCCACACAGGCGCCCCAAACAGAGAAAACTCTTAAGGGAACAGTAGAAATGAGATGCTAGACCCTGACTTTCTTCCACACAAGCCCACAATGCCCCTAGTGTTGGAGAGCGGCCTGGCAGTGCAGAAGTAGGCAACGCGCGTGTGTCCTACCTTCTAGAGCACATCACCTGCAGCCCGACTGTGGCTGTGGTTCACTTTGGGACCCCAGCACGGAGTAGTCACCATCTGGGGCACTGCCTCCCGTTGTGGAGGGAACAGAAAACAGGAATCCTGTGCTGGCTGTTCAAGGTCCTGCTCTGGAGTGACACACACCACTTGTGTGTAAGTCCCGTGGCTACACCTGGCGTTTATCAAGACCTGAATGTATAATCCTGCAGAGAGAGGCGCCAAATAAAAATACAGTCTACGACAATATGGGCTTGGAATGAGATTTTAGTCAGGATCCAGGGAAGAATGAGTTTCCCTAGTTTTGAAGGGGCAGTAGAGAAAAGCAAATCTCCAGCCTCACAGAGACTCCCTCCAAGTCTGAGCCTTCTCCAGCTCTGGAACCCCGTTCCTAGCCAAGATGACCCTCAACTGTCACAGCATATTTTTAAAGTAAAAAACCCAAATCAACTGTTCTTTGCATTTCCGATTTTATAGTCCTTAATTCTCCTTGAGGCAATGAGAATGACATGGACTATATATATATGGTCATGAGCAAGAATGTGCAGAGAAGAAAAGCACACAAAAATTTTTTTCACAATATTTTCTCTCCACAGGCAATTCTCAGACAACCTTCAGTGAGTTCTTCGACATTCCATCTGTAGCCCAGGCTTCTGTCTGCACAGGTTCCGGGTAGAGCCCACAAGCAGGCCCAGCTACATAACCTGTGGGGCCCAGAGCAACATGAAAATGTGGAGGCCCTTGTTCAAAACGCCCTGAATGCTCCGTGAGAGCCGACCTCTGAACCCTTCCAAGCACAAGGCTGTGCGCAAGCCGCCACAGGGACCACGCGTCCAGGAAGCGGGCACTGCGCACACCTGAGAAGCAAGTCACGCACCCGGTGGAGCTCAAGGTCTGCACATCGTGGCGCGCCCCATGCTCACGACAAGTCATTCTCTCCTATCCCGGAGACACAGCGAGGTCTTCCCACCGTCTTAGGCAGTCGGGAATCGCCACCGCAGTCTCCTGCACCAGGCTTCGCTCTTGACCTCTCAATCAGCCAGGTTCAAACAACTTTGGAGAGAAGGCTGTCATCTGGGGAATACTGAAGCCACAACATGGAAGAGGATGCCTGAGCCGTCACATAGAAGACTGCCTGCCAAATACCACAATCAACTGTCAAATGAAGGATAAATACAGTTCTGTAACGTTAAGCCAATTGCCATACCTTGAGTGTGTGTGTCAGGACAGGGCAATGTACAGTAACATACCACGCCCAAATCTCATTATCTTATAACACAAATGTATTTCTTGTTTATGATCTACCATCAAGATCACTATACTCGTCATAGCTAGCTACTCAGGGAGCTAGGCTGATCAAACCCCCATCTTGACTTACACCTCCATGGTCACCACAACACTGGAAAAGAACCATGGTAAATTATACACTGGCCTTTACGGTTTCTGTGCATATGTGATATATCACTTCTTACGCTTCAGAGGATAGCAAGTCAAATGGTCATGCCCATCTTCAAAGACAGCAAAGGCCATATTGTTGGGTCCAACGTGTAAAGTTGTCAGCAGAGGAGATGACTATTAAACTTAGTCCAAAGCCCCCTCAACATCTTTGCTTTTCTAAGCTTTGCTGGAATACATTATACCAGAAGTAATTTGCAACGTGTTGTCTGTTTAACTGTGGACCTATGTAATGCTTTTATCCATGTTTAAAAAGGAAGGAATTTGATCAAAGGCAAACCATCTCATGTAATTAGCCAAGGAAAAAGCTTTCAGGACTTTCAAATGTTAACTGTTTTTCTCACCTAGGAAATGCTATAAAGCTCAAATTAGATAGGAATGACTTCTACATTTTTTTGTTTTAAACACCTAAGAGATGCTTGTCAGGTATGTATATTGCCATATTCTTAATGCTTTGAGTGACGACATCCAATTCTGCACCTGTACCCTCTGGTACTTTTTAACCTTCCTGGAATCCATTTTCTAAAAAATAAAGACATTTTTAGATCTGGAAAAAAAAAAAAAAGTGAATAACTTCAGTCCAACTATGTGCCAAGAATGGGGAAATCCAGACATATTTGGCAAATGAGAGCAAGGACTCCCATGTGAATACAGATGTTGGTGCTTGGAAGAAGGATGCTGCCATATAGAAACTCAAAATTTGTACAGAACAAGTAGGCAGCAGACAGCAAAGAAGCAGATAGGCAGGCTGGCGAGCTGGAGAGCCCTAGTGCACCTTGGTAACATATCTAGTAAAACTGTCCCCAGTGAGAAGTAGAAGGTAGACCATGAGCCTAGTGAAACCCCAACTCTTTGAGAAGTAGATGGAGGCAGAGTGATATGTGCTGGATACAGTTATCTACCTTTAGCAAGATCTTACAACAAAGAGGGCAGCTCAGATGAGAACTGGCTGGTGTTCTGGAAGAGGTAGAGGGTACTAAGGAATTCTACAGATCAAGGTCCTTTTAAAGTTAGAAAAGCTGACTGCTCCTAGACCCTAGGTCTAGGTAATAACTTTTCCTAAAAGTTTTAAGGCCCTAAAAGGTCTCTCAGTTCAAAAAAAGTGATACAACCTTTCTGCAGGGATCAGATTAAGGGTTTTTAACCTTGCCATCCAAACTTACTGTTTCAGACAGCTTTCAGATAGCCATCATTCACTGAGAGAGAGGGGCATGTACATGAGGGAGCAGAGATGAATCACTCTTGAGAATTATATATGGGAAAGAGCTGTGGGATTTACAATACAGGAACTAGAAGCACATACCAGAGAGCCAAGTTTTTAAGGTAATTATATTGTTAAAGAAACCATACAACCCGATTAAAAAAAGACTTTGAGCCTTAAAAAAAGCAAGCTCTCAGGGTGTCCCCAGCAGGAAGCCCAGATAAGCTATCTTTCTGGTTTACACGTTGCTGGACCATGAGGAGCCACATTTGAACCTGAAGGCAAGGACTGCATCACACGGAGATCTTAAATCCCTCTTTCTCTAATAAAGGACTGCCCCAAATGTGCATTCATTGACTTCACGGCCCCGTTCCAGGCAAGAACATGAGACACATGACGGGAGTAACTTCCATTAGTTTCAGGGAATAAGGGTCTTAATTTCACATTTCATATTTGTTAGGTATCTTTAGGGACTAAAGGTGCCAAGGTGAAAAGATATGTTAAAAACTTGGTCTCTTTTCCTTTAAACCTGTCCTGAGCTACCCTCTTGAGTAAGTTGATGCCACCAAGTTTTTTGATGCTCTATTCTCATAGCAACAGGCTGTGATGTCAGAGGGTTATTTTATCACAGAAGTCATCCAAAAAAAGATGCTGGGCTGTGAAGCAGAAAGCTGTGGCTTAATTGCATGTTACTCAACTATCACTTCACATAAATAGAAATGGAAATAGAAAATAAAAGACTCATACTAACAGTTTATGTGGACATTTTTATTAATAGTTGCCATGGTATGAAGCAGTTTTCCTTTTAGGACTTTATTATCAGTGGTTATGTATTTTTAAAAATAATATTACAGGGCATCCAGTTACAAGTCTCAACAAGACTATTTCCTGCGAATAAAGGTAAGCTAGGTCAGGCACACAGGAAAGAAAGCCGCATCAAAGCATTTAAAAGAACAATCAGCATCATAGAGGAAAATACTACCTATTACTATGTTTGGAATTTTTTTTATGGTGAGAACCTTAAAACTGGTTTCACTAGCAGAATTGATCACACTGAAAGGCACAATTAAAAGCACTACCTTTGTTTATCAGACAAATGATCATCCCTTAACTTGGTTGGTGTAGGGAAGATAGCACTCTGTACAGCCACCAAAACTCATGTGGCCACGTAAATTCGTGGAGTGGCCTCCGTGTGAGATAGGGTGGGTACGTCTGGAGGGGCTCAATTAGGCCACAGCAACAAAGAAGCCGAGAGCTCAGTTGTTGAAGACCTGTGTTTGCTTGCTCACCCTGCACGCTGGTCAGGGTCAGCTGGGGGCTCTGTTCTTCGTCATTAAGGGCAGCCACTATCGAGAACCGTGCTCATTACTACTACGGTGGAACAAGGAAACAAGGCAGGTGATTCTGTGTAGCCCAAGCAGTACTCTCTCCTAACTGGAAAGACGTCTGGAAGGTGTGCTCGTCCTTAGGACTGCTCTCAAACTTCTGCTCTCTCTCCTTTCACGCACAAGGCCCAGCTGCACTTACCTGACCCCTGCCGTTAGATGTGACCCTGTGACTTGCTTGGCTAATACAATGTGAATGGAAGTGACAGGCAGAAGCTTCCAGAGCCCATGAGTGCTCTGCCACATGGTTTCTTCACCAAGATGTTTGTCAATTAAACCTGTATATAAGCAAATACAAACCAAAGCGCAATAAATACAATTTTTACCAAGAACTATAAAAACATCCATACTTCAAAAAAAAAATTCTCCCCTGGCGCCTGGCTGGCTCATTCAGTTAAGCATCTGTCTTTGGCTCAGGTCATGATCTCAGAGTCCTGGGGTCCAGTCCCGCATCTGGGCTCCCAACTCAGTGGGGAGTCTGCTTCTCTGTCTTCCTTTGCCCCTCCACCCCCTGTTCGTATTCTCTCTCTCTCTCCCTCTCAAATAAATAAAATCTTTAAAGAAAATAAATTCTCCCAACACTGGTGTTCTTTTCATCTTTAAAGAGAATAGGTTTAGGGTACTGTCTCTGACATACCTCCCATAATTCTTGCCATTAATATTATGTTTAAAATGAAAAACACCAGGATTCAAATAAATAGTATTTAAAATTTGATAGAAAATTCAAAATATTTAAATTATTTAATCATAATGTCTTTTTTTTTTTTTTTTTAAATAATGAAACACAGGTATTACCTGCAAGGAACTCCACACTTTTGCTCTCCTCTAATGTCTGTTTCTGGTTCTCTTTGTGGGAGTGGAGACTGGGGAAAATCATACCCACATTATCACATTTCTGGCCTCTTCTCCCACCTCCTCTACTCTGCCCAGGATTCATGGGGGGCAAGAGGGGCACTGAAGTGCAGACCGAAGAATTATCTTCGGCTGTGTGTTACAAACCGACAAACACTAATTTCCCCATTACATAGCTCCTTCCTCTCTCCCTATAATTTTCAGTGCAATTGACTGCAGAAGGACTGGCTCCCTGTGTGCCAGGAGTAATGGTTAGCGACCATTCACTACTTATGAACAGTCAGAAGAAATAGAGTTCCTTTTGTCCTATTGGTGTAAATATATGTAAGTATTAAATGTCCTATTAGGATGTATCTTTCATTGTGCTGGTGACTGAAATCTGTAAATGCCACGCTTTGGCAAGTCTGAAGAAGGGGTTCTGAAAACACCTGTCATGCACAGCACCCCCCTGTCTAAGAAGAGTAACTATGCTTTACTATGAAAAATTCTGTAACAGTCCTGTGGCATTTTTCCCTTAAACGGAGTCAGTGTAAGGAGTATATTTAATAAGGGGAGCAATTTTTATAACCAACATGATAATGTAATTTGCCCAATCTTGGTCAAACATAATGGATCAAACAGAACAAACTTTCTTCCTCTAGTCACTTTCACAGAACAGACGCAGATCTGTTAGAGATCACCCGGAACAGTGGATCCCTGCGGACACTGAAGCCCTTTTCAGAGGTTTGGGAGGTCACAGTATTTTCACGGGCTAAGACATTTTCACCGATCATGCAAATGTACTGGCGTCTGTGAAAGGTAGAATTCTCAACTGGCGCAAGGTTTCCACATGCCGTGTAACCCCCTAACCTTGAGCTGGGGTGACACCTGTGAACAGGGAGAGAGGAAGGAGCTGTGTACGCAGGGAAGTTAGTGTTTGTCGGTCTATCACTCCCATACTGAATTTACCACTCAGCTGACTTAATAAAGAAGGTTATCCACCGGGCCTGGTCGAATCAGGTGAACCCGGAGAGGGAATAGGGCCTTTCCTGCTGCAAGAGGTTGGAGACCCAAGGCTGAACTGGTGTATGGGGGAGTGCACTGCTAGTGCTGCAATAGAGAGGGGAGGAACGTGGGGGCCTTGACCTGCTCAAGGTCACCGCAGTCGAAGCCTGCAGAGAAATGGGGACTGCAGTCCTGTACCTGCAAGGAATTTAATTCTGTGTCCACGATAGGAGCTGGGAAGAGGAGCCTAAGCTCCCGATGACTCAGCCCGGCCAGCATCTTGATCTAAGTCAAGGCCCTTGGCGGACCACCCGGCCTGCGGTTTCCCATGACTGACGGGCAGGACCTCATGCTGATAGTGGGGTGTCGCTTTCAGCCACTGAGTTTGTAGAACTCTGTGATGAACCCTAGTACAGATCCAGGCCAGGGCACAACACTGTTCCAGTGCTCACGCGTTCTTTACCTCCGTGTGCGCACAGGACAGTGTCCTTCATAAAGGAGTAGATATTATCGACTTTCCCAAATCCCAGAGCTTGAGAGCAAGTCATTTCACCATTCTGAGGGATGCAATGCAAGGCGCACAAAGCACTTGGGCGGCATGTGGAGGCATGATGGCTGCCTTCCAGGAAAGACCCGTGTGACTGGAGTCGTGGTCTAAACTAGCAGCTTGTTTCATACAAGACCACGTTCACCTGGAAGAAGGACAAAAACTATGATTATGCAGACATGGGATATGTGGCAGACATTTTTCTCAAAAATGAATGAAATAAGGCTATAATTTCAGGGAAAACAACTGACACTCTTTGTTGCCAAACTTGTATGCAAGAATTAGAATTTTGGAAAAATTAAATTCTCTGATGTAAGCTTGACAACCTCTTCAGACATAAAGACTTATGAGATCAGTGGTATACTGATGAATGTGATTTTTAAAATATTGCATAATGAAATGTATCCACATTTGGAAGATCCTCATAGCTCAGTGAACCAGTATTTTCCAAAGGACCAATGCGTGATGTTAGGAAACTGTGCGTGGGTCAAAGATCCATTCAGTATGCAAGATAACCAATGGTTTTTAATGTAGCTGAGTATGAAATGTCGAATCACTCATATGGTTCCAGATTCCAAACTGCAACTAGCCTTTAAGAAACTACCACTTAAGGAATTTTAGTAACAATGAGTAATATTCACAATGATTTGAAAAGGCTGTTAAAGTTCTTTCCCATTTTCTAACTACACGTCTATGTGAGGCCAGGTTTTTCCAGGTACTTCAGTGGGTCAACTTATTGCAAGAGATAGGATGAAGAATGTAAAACGTCAGTCTTCTGACCAAATTTATGTTTGTGTTGGGAATTATAATTATTTTAAAAAATATTTATTTTGAGAGGGAATGAGTGCAAGGGGGGAGGGGCAGAGGGGAAAGGAGAGGGACAAGAGTACTATGTGCTGAGCTTTGGAGCCAGACATGGGGCTCAATCTCATGACCCCGAGATCAAGACCTGAGTAGAAACCAAGAGTCAACGCTTAGCTGACTGAGCCACCTAGGAGCCTAGGAATTATTAATTATCTTTAAAAAAACATATCACTTAGTAAGTCATGGACTTATCATTTTTAAATAGATGAATAAATATGTTTTAAAAAAATTTCATGACTATTACAGTAAATATTGATAGAAATAATGCACAAAAAAATCTTTTTGGAATCTTCAATAATGTTTTAAAGCATAAAGAAGACCTGACACCAAAATGTTTGAGATATGCCGGTATAGTTCAAAATCAGGAAAGCTTGGCTCAGAAAGGTTTCGTCCCTTGTTCTCCAGCTTACATTTCCTGTTTTCATGCCACCTGCTAACCAACTACTAAGCCAACATCCTACATTAAATTAAGGAACAAAACAAAACAAACACTAGCCACCCTACTGCTGGTAACAATTACTCTATTGGTTAGACTGGCTGAACTTACTATAAAAAACAGACCCACATACACATGCTGTAAAATGGCCCAAACACAATAAAGGTTATTTCTTGCTTATTTAACAGCTGCTAGCCCTGCTGCACACTGAGTCGGGAGCCCTGTGTCCTAGACATTTATGGTTGTCATCTCTTCTTGTTTTGTATCCAGCTGGCAAAAGATGAAGGCACACTCACTTCTTTCAAACCCTGTCTTCTAAGTGGCACCCATTACTTCTGCTTACATCCTACTGGGGAGAATGAGTTAATGGCCACACCTGGAGAGTAGCCACTGGGATACTGGTGGATGTCTGGCTGTCTACCACTATGATACAGTGCCTAGAGATCAGTTTGCAGTTGGGTTTGGATATCAATCTTGGTTCTACAACTAGTTATCTCTGTGGCTCTGTATAAGTTAGTTATATCTGAATTCCTTCTGATTTACTGAAGCTTCGTGAATAGAGACCTCATCTGTCTTCTTTCCACTCTATGCCTAATTTTAGGTACCCAGCAGTGACATACAAAATTCCTACCCTCATTGACTTTATGTGTCAATTGGAGTTTCTATGTTTCTTAATGTCTGGGTTAAACTATATTCGAACACTCAAATGTCATATCTTGAGGAAGTCCAAAGCCCACCTAAGGTTCCTAAAAATTCCTGGGAAGGTAACATTCATACGATCTCATCTGCTCCCAGACTCGTGTTCCTACCTGTGCTGCCTTCATGCTTATCACATTGTTGTGGGTGCTAAATACAACCATCTCACACATTTCCACCAAAACAACTCACCTAGACCAAGCATTTGTGAGTATAGGTGGCTTTCCTGAAGACTTTGTGAAGGGTCATAATGCCCACTGCAGAGCAAAAATCTCTGTATCCATATTTAGCCATCTTTGTTTTCAGAATCCATTTTGGCTATCCAGTCATCTTGGGTTCCTGTTTGGATTTTTTCCCATCCAGTGGCCAGCATCCCAATTCATGCACTCCTCTCTCCCACTTCGTGGATGATTTCATGAGAATTTAAATTCATTTCCCTTTACAATTCACAGCGGTTCCGCTTTCTTGAGTTCTCACCCCCAAATCTTACTCAAGATGCTCAGCAGATAAAAAGACCCTCTTTCCACTGATAAAAGAATATAGTTTTACGAGGAAGTTGTGGTTACTGAATGCAAATTAAGAAAAAAATCTAGGGGCGCCTGGGTGGCTCAGTCGTTAAGCGGCTGCCTTCGGCTCAGGTCGTGATCCCGGGGTCCTGGGATCGAGCCCCACGTCCGGCTCCCTGCTCGGTGGAGAGCCTGCTTCTCCCTCTCTCTGTCTGCCTGCCTCTCTGCTTACTTGTGCTTTCTCTCTCTGTGTCAAATAGATAAATAAAATCTTAAAAAAAAAAAAAATCTCTGTTCGAGCTCCTTAGGATGAAGGCTCGAACCGGAGGCAAGATGACGCCTGACTAGACTACAAAACCCTTTAAGGGCAGGGCCTGTGTGTCCAGGGCCTGGTCCATTACTGGGCACGCAGCAGCATGCAGCCCACTTCAGCTGATTCTTGAATTCACAGCACCAGAGTGAAAGACCAGCAGTTCAGTAGTTTACGGTGATGCCGGCGAAGAAAACGAAAGAGCCCGATCTTACTCCTGTATTTCTTCAGTACTGGGTATTGGTTGTGCGTGTTATAGAACTAGTTAACAGGTATCACCGTACGTTTTGGTTATTTCACAAACGTGGCTGCGTGTTCGGGTGACGGTCGTGGTGAAAAACGAGGGGTTGCATTTTTTTCTGAACCGGGGGGAGGGACTGGCGGGAAATGAAGCCCCACAGAAAGGGGCGGGAAGACGCAGCCAGGGAATGAACCGCGTGCTCAACCCCTGCTCTTGGGCAGCCCCTGCGAAGAGCCGTCTCTTCGAGTCCGCGCGGCAACCCGCCCGGCGCCGGCCCATTTCGCAGATGGGGAGCCCGGCGCCGCCGGCGGCAGCCCCAGGGCCCAGCCGCCCGGACTCCGGGGCACGCGGCGCCACTGCCTGCGTCGCTTCCAACAATCCGCTACGGGAAACCCGCACGAAGAATGAACGGCAGGCTTTGCGACCCGGCACACAGCTGCCCGGACCCCTCAGGACCGACCGCAGCACCGGGAGCAGCTCCCCGGCGCCACTGCGGCCGCCGGCCTCCGAGGACGGTGCGTGCGCGTGCCCGAGCGCGAACGTCCACGGCGTGCGCGCGGCCGCGCCGACGTCGGGCTCCGTCGCCATAGCGACCGGCGCTGGCGCCCGCGAAGGCTTGCGGGCCGGCCGGCGGGCTGCGCGTGTGGGCGCAGGTGGGCTCCGGCGGCGGCGGCGGCGGGGGGCCGCTGTCTTCCTCCGGCCTGGCCGCCGCCATGGCGGGCGGCAGCGGCGACGTGCGGAAGGTCTTCCTCTTGACCACGACCCAGAATTACTTCGGACTGGTGTCGGAGCCCTGGGACCAGCCGCTGACGTACAGCTGCCCTGAAATCAACAACTTCCTGGACGACGGCAACCAGATGCTCCTCCGGGTGCAGCGCACCGACGCCGGCGTCTCCTTCTCCAACGCGGTACGGGCGCCGCCACCTCCGCCCCCGGCCACCCCCCCGGGACCCGCCCCTCGGGCTCCCCCCGGAGCCAGACCCCCCGGGCCTCCCCGCTGGGACCACCCCCCGGAGCGGGCCCTGCCCGGCCCCCCCCGGGACCCCCCACTCGGGCTCCCCCCGGAGCCAGACCCCCCCCCGGCCTCCCCGCTGGGACCACCCCCCGGAGCGGGCCCTGCCCGGCTCCCCCCGGAGCCAGACCCCCCGGGCCTCCCCGCTGGGACCACCCCCCGGAGCGGGCCCTGCCCGGCCCCCCTAAGGGGCCCCCCACTCGGGCTCCCCCCGGAGCCAGACCCCCCCCCGGCCTCCCCGCTGGGACCACCCCCCGGAGCGGGCCCTGCCCGGCCCCCCCCGGGACCCCCCACTCGGGCTCCCCCCGGAGCCAGACCCCCCCCCGGCCTCCCCGCTGGGCCCACCCCCCGGAGCGGGCCCTGCCCGGCCCCCCCCGGGACCCCCCACTCGGGCTCCCCCCGGAGCCAGACCCCCCCCCGGCCTCCCCGCTGGGCCCACCCCCCGGAGCGGGCCCTGCCCGGCCCCCCCCGGGACCCGCCCCTCGGGCTCCCCCCGGAGCCAGACCCCCCCCAGGCCTCCCCGCTGGGCCCACCCCCCGGAGCGGGCCCTGCCCGGCCCCCTCAGGGACCCCCTCAGTCACCTGTCAGCCTCCCCCAGGGGACCCCCCCCAGCGGGCCCCGCCCGGCCCTCCCCTCCTCCTGTCCTCCTCTTGGGGGTCCTTCCCCCTCGGGCCTCCTCCGCAGCCGGGCCTCCCTCATCCCTCAGCCCCCCCCAGGTGTGGGCCCCCTCCCCCGGGGTACACCCCCCGCTGTGCTGATCTGCACCCGCGCACCCGAGCAGAGCACCTCTGTGCTCTCCTCGTTTTGCTTCGCTCTTAAACGCTACAACTAAAAAGAAGACCTCCATCTTACTTACCAAACCAGTTTTTCTCCTCCCTGTCTTTTGGGGTATGCGCTGAGCTTAAATGGACTCGAGGGGAGGGTTGGTATCCGGAGTCCAGCAGAGTCTTCACGCGCAGCAAACCTTGGGTGCATTTTTGTTCCATGATTGAGTCATTCACCCCATTCAGTAGGAGTCTAGTCTTGGATGTAATTTGATTCTCTTCAATAAACTTTGATTTTGAGCTCAGCACATGCAGGGCACTTTGCTAGGCTCCATGCGTTTCGAAGACACTGTCAGGGCTGCTCTACGCCCCTTACGCGCACGGGCTCATTCATCATTCCCCGCAACGCTGTAGAGAGGGATTGTCTTTATTTCCATTTTATGACAAAAGGAAGTAAGGCACAAAGGTCCCATCCCAAGTGGTAGGATCTCCACTGCTCTAACTGTGGTAGGATTCAGAATGGGGGTCTCTGCCTCTGCCTTCCAGAGCCGCCTCCGGTGGCCTGAGGTGACCTACACCACTCAAACTACAAAATCAAGGTACACTTGTAAATGCCGCTGCACGTTTAAACAGAGTGTAGTCCAGGGAACACAGGCTGAGGAAGGGTTTGGATTGCTGAAAATGTATCTTGGGTTGGGTACTGAAAATGGAAGTGCTAACTTTTTTTTTTGACAGTGAGAGAGAGCACGAGAACAGGGTAGAGGGCAGAGGGAGCCGGAGACTCCCCACTGAGCAGGGATCCCAGTGTGGGGCTCAGTCCCAGAACCCTGAGATCATCACTTGAGCCAAAGGCAGATGCTTAACCGGCCGAGCCACCTGACTTAACCGATGCTTCAGGTGTCCTGAAGCAACAACTCTTTCAAGTTAATGCTGTTGGTACTAGAGCCCAGCAACATATTATATATTTAGTCATATACCACACTACAGACTTCCAGTTAGGCTTGGAGTGTTTTGTTGTGTCTTATGTTGTACTGTGGATGTGTGACAGTCAACATGATTCAATAAGTTAATAAATATTGAGTACTTACGATGGGCCTGGCCCTGTACAGGGTGCTTGGAATAAAGCCATGAATATGGCAGAAATTGTCTTCAAGGAGTAGAATTTCAGTGCACAGAGATTGGCTACACATGTGCATGCAGATACATAAATGTAACATAATTTTGGGCATTGATAAGTGCGGTTAAGATCCAAATAGAAGGGTGTCTGGGTGTCTCAGTCTGTTGGGTGACTGACTTCGGCTCAGGTCATGATCCCAGGGTCCTGGGATCAAGTCCCGCATCGGGCTCCCTGCTCAGTAGGGAGTCTGCCTCTCCCTCTGCTGCTCCCCCTGCTTGTGCCCTCTCTCTCTTAAATAAAAATCTTAAAAAAAAAAAATCAAAATAGAGTAATGTTAAAGTACTGATGGGGGTGGGCTGGGGAAGTGCATTAAAATGGAGGGGGAGGGGCTACCTGTCTGGATTAGTGAGCTTTGAAGTGAGATTTGGTTGATGAGCTGTAGGCAGACCGAAGATTTAGAGGAAGAGTGTTCTAAGCGGAAGATAAGTACTGAGGCCCTGAGCTGGTCTCACCTAGATTTCAAGGGCCAGGCAAAAAAAATTCAGTGATTGCAGAAGTTTAATGGATGACTGGAGAGCATGGAAGATGACAACATGGGCTGATCATTTAGAACCTTGGACACCATTTAGGTTGAAACAGAAAGTCCATTGGTAATCTTAAACAAGACAGATGCGATCTGGTTTATGCTTTAGGAAAGAGGTTGGCAAACTTTTTCTGTGATGAGCCAGATAATACATATTTTAGGCTTTGTAGGCGGTAAGGTCTCTGTTGAAGTTACAGCTCTGCTGTTGTATTATGGAAGCAGTCCTACATAATGTTTAAATGAATATGACTGTGTTCTAATAAAACTTTATTTATGGGCACTGATAATTGAATTTCTTGTAATTTTTATTTGTCATGAAATGTTGTTGTTTTGATTTTTTTTTAAGATTTTATTTTTAAGTAATCTCTACACCCAGTGTGGGGTTCGAACCCACAACCCCCAGATCAAGAATAGCAAGCTCTCTCAACTGAGCCAGCCAGGCGCCCCTCTTCATTTTTTAAAAACCTAGCTTGTGGGCTGTACAAAAACAGGCAGCAGGTTGTGGTAGGCTGATGCCTGATGGATCCCAGTAGGTGGTAGAGTTATTTTACAGTCTCAAAAAATAAAATCTTTGTACTCTGAATTAATAGCTATCAAAATTGCGTCAGTTAAGGGAAAATCGTAGTTGCCACTGATAGGGAAACTGGCAGGAGAGGCAGCTGGGAGTGCTGGTTCTGTTTTCCTTTTCTTGGGAATGAGGAGCAGCTGTAGTCAACTGATCCTTTGCTTTAGCTCTGACTTTGCTTAGGACAAAACTCATCATCCTGACTGATGGCCAGGGAGCCTTTGACAGTGACTGTGGTTACTGTTTTCAAATGATAAAATGTATATTTTCTGAATTTTCTTTCTCAGGTAGGTGGGAGAAAGAGAGTACAGGGGTGTGTACTATTTAACAACTAAAGAGTGAATTTTTCAAATCTACGTATCTGTAGCTTGTTCTCGCTTGTAATTGGAATAAAATGATCATACTAGCAATAGAATTTTAGTGTATGCAAATGAGATTTTGAGAAATGCAGAGTTTGAGTAAATGCCAGTTCCCTCCTTGTGCCTAAAAAATATAATGATTAGGGTAAAAGAAAAGTAGCATGAAATCTCACTCATCTATAAGGGCTTTTCATGCACAGCAGTGAACTTGTTTGAAAGCTCTTTAATACATATACTTCTCTCTCTGGAAAAAGAAATGAGAGCAACTGTGAAAATGCATACATAACGCAAAAACTTCTTTTGCGTAATACACTTTTCAGCTAATGAACTAATTACTGTGAACTGACCTATTTTACACATGGTTGCTTTAGTGACTTCCAATTTAGCTCATCCAGTTCCAATTTTAAATATTCTAGTTATACAACTTAAAAAGTTTGATGCTCAAATACTTTAAGGAAAAATTTTTTTATTCAGATAAAGATAAACCTAGGAGATAGACAACTTAAGTCTGTTTTGGTAGCTTTGAGTTTAAATATGACTTAAACACCTTTTAAAATGCTAGTTTCAGGTAAGAGGGTAATCAACATTCTTGATTTAGACTTTTTGGAATAGAGTGGCGACATGTACTACTAATCAGTTTGTACCTGGGGCACACAACTTTGATCTGTAGTATTACTGAATCTGGTTGGAGTGGAGTAGTTAGCAGTATATGTCCACAATATTTATATAGTACTTTCTGTTTATAAGCCACTTGTCACAGTAGCTTTAGGATACAGTCACTTACAAGTGGGGATACATTTTAAAACCCAGATGCTCTTAAAGAGCAGAGATAGATTGGTTGTAATGTACTGTGATTATTTTAAAGTAACTGTTTTTTCCAAGGGATAAAAAATACAGTAATAGAACAGTTTTAGGGGAACATTTCTTTCAAATAGTTTCATGAAAGTAACATAAAAATCATTTGTTTATCACTTAGATTGATTTTGCTGACACAAAAGATAAAGTGCTGGTGTTTTTCAAGCTGCGACCTGAAGTAATTACTGATCAGAATCTACATAATAACATTCTTGTTTCATCTATGTTAGAATCACCTATAAATTCTCTTTACCAAGCAGTACGGCAAATATTTGCACCAATGTTGTTAAAGGTATGTAAATTAAAGGAGCTGTATGGTCGTTTTTTTTAAAGCTAGGTATTTGTATAAATGTCTTTATAAACAAAGAAATATTTTATTTGCTGTTAATATCATTAGTATTTTAGTTTTTTAAATGTTATAAAAATTATAAAAAAAATTAAAGTCAGCTTTGTGGACAAATAGAGAAATGGGAGAAAGAGATAAATGTAATCCACATCAGCTCTTAAGTTGCTATATAATAAATTATTTTATAAAGTTTTAACTGTTGAAAGGCCTTTTTTTCCTCCCTTATGAGACAGAGGGCAGTGGCAGGCTTTGAGTGAAACAGATGTATTTTGACTTATTTCTCTCAACAGTATTTTAAGGAAGCCAGTTTGATTGGAAAACTTTTGATCAATGTTTGCTCTTGTCTGTTTTTCTTTAGGATCAGGAATGGAGCAGAAACTTTGATCCCAAACTTCAGAATCTTTTGAGTGAACTAGAAACTGGGTTGGGTATAGTTCTACGAAGATCAGACATTAACTCATCAAAATTGAAATTTAAGGAAGATGATACACGAGGTATAGAACCGTAGCTTAATGAAAGAAAGTCAAAACAATTTTCTTATTAATACCTTAGTAAATTAATATATTTTTTCACAGATTTATTTCCACACTTTTGGATCTTCTCTGAGCTTCAGCCTTTTAAATGAATAGATTTACATGGATTTTGAGAGGAAGAAAATGTAATCTTTAACAATATGCAATTCATGGACATAGAATATAGTTGTCTCTCATTATTTGCAGTAGTTATGTTCTGTAAACTCACTGTGAATATTGAATTAGTAAATACTGAACTCTTGGTCCTAGGGGAAAAACAAAGTTAGGTTCCTGTGAGCCTCTGGTTGTAACATTTTTATTGACTTATCAACATGTAACCCTATTTTGTATGTTTCTGTTTTTAATATATTTTACGTGTGTTTCTGTTTTAATATAATTAACACTTTTTTAATATAGATTGTTGATTTTTTGATATAGATTGTTGATTAATTACCATAGGCCTCATGGCCTGCAGCACTGTAACTCATGCATGAAGGAAACATCCCTGACACAAGTATTCTCTCTCTGGAGGTCACATCATAGTGTTCTTGTCCTTGGCAACACTGGACAGCACTTCAGCACTATGCTTGGGAGCCATCTTAAACAGAGAAATGACCAATAAAATGCACAAAAAATGAGGAAAACATCCAACTGAATAGGTTACAGAAAGGATACTTGTTTATGGTAGGAGATAGGAAACACGAAGGCAGTGTTACCTTGTTCAGCCTGGGAACGTGTATGCGGGGTAACTCCCAATTTTTCATTGCTCTGTGCATGTCTGTGGATGACCATGAAAGCATTGCAAGCATTGATTTTAGATACAAATAAATGTTAGGAAATGGATGAATTCATAAATCCACATCCATGAAAAAGGAGGATTGACCCTAATCATCTACTTTGCAAAGATAATTGATTTTTATTTTAGAAACGCATTTTATCTGAAGCCAATTATAATTTTATTCTAGCTATAAATATTACTTATGTGAACAATTAATATGAAATGAATGACCTACACTAATCATTATTTTACAATATTGGATACAGTTTTACACTTTTTTGAACAGTAAATTAGATGCTTTTTGAATACCATAGACCCAGAAAGAATAGTGCACTTTTCCAGCATGTGATTAAGCAACTAGAAATTGTCCAATTCATTGGGAAATATAAAAACAAATTAAAAAGTAAAATTATTTTAATTTGCTTATATTTTGAAATTAAATTGTGGGCGTTGATTGATTAAATTGTCATCATTTCTAATTTGGATGGTATTCCCGAACATGAATCGTGATGGAAAGCCTTGTGTTGGAGAAACAGCCTTTCGGGTAGAAGGTGTAGACTGACTGTGTAGAGATGGATGGTGTACAAAAACATATGGGAAACATACTGAGCGACAAATCTGTGAAGTATACATTTGGTGTACTGTTAGTTGTACTTGGTGGATTTAAGGAAGAACTTTCTGTCGATAGAAATTATAAGGCTGATTTTCCGCACATCTTCATGAGCACAGGAAATAGGCAAAATCAAATGAACCAGATAATTTTCTGGCTTTTCATTTTGTACTGATATTTCTTTTTTTCCTTCTCACCTTTTCAGGTATTCTAACACCAAGTGATGAGTTCCAGTTTTGGGTAGAACAAGCTCATCGTGGAAATAAACAGATTAATAAAGAAAGAGCCAGTTATTTTAAAGAATTATTTGAAACAGTTGCAAGAGTATGTGATTCCTATATAGTTATATTTCAGACTTTTGATAAAAGTACTTTAGGATTCAGTTTTCACTAGATTTACCTTTGTTTTGACATTATTATTTGATGGTTGTAAACAAAATATATCCTTAATACATAACAGGTTTCCTTGAAGTGTGCATTTAACATGTACACAACTTAAAAACCGAAACTTTTAAGAAAGTTAGATTCTAATCTCTAGTAAATATTTTTCTCAAAAACAGAATTGCTTTTCTGCAGGTACATAGGGAAAAGCAAAAGCCTAATGTACTCAGAGAGGTTTATCTACATGGAGGTAATACGTTCTTTTAAAGGAATGTTCAGTTTATTCAAGTTAGCATTTTGAAGTAATCCCAAATATGAAAAGTCTTAGTTTTATACTTGATTGATTATTCTTCGAAATATTCCTAGAGGTTAAATAAGTGACCACTTTAAATATGGTTACAAAAAAGTCTATTCTTTTCACAATAAATAGTAATTTTTTATTTGTTCCCAGTATTATTTCAATAGTATCATTTTAGTGAAATGTTTGAAATGGTTTTAAACTTTTTTTTGTCATGATGGAATGTAAAATCACAAACCTTGAGCTGTGATTGCATTACGGGTAACATGCAGTGCAGTCCATGAGTGACAACATATGGGAGCTAGTGTGGGTAATGTCTGTCTGGTGTTAGAACCGCCTCCTTTCAGGAGCTGCAAGAAATGAATCCAGACTTGAAGAAAATTAGGTCAAGGGCAAACATAAATGAATAGACTTTGCAATTCTTATTTTTTCTTCTGGCTTTCCTGATATTTATGTTTGTAAAGGAACTTGTAGGGTATTTGCATAAAGAAGTAACACATCGTCTGGTAGAAAAAGGAGGAGGAAATGATATCGCAGGTGTTAGAATTGTAGTAATTGAAAAGTCTGGGAACAAGTTGACTATATTGACGAAAGTATAGTTATCATTATGTTTAAAAATGAATGCCTTTTGGTTTTAGGAATTTTATAACTTGGACGGTCTCTCCTTATTGGAGGTGGTTGACTTGGTGGAGACCACTCGGGATGTTGTAGATGATGTGTGGAGACAAACAGAGCATGATCACTATCCTGAGTCACGAATGTTACATCTCTTAGATATCATAGGTACTGTTAAAGAAGCAAACTTTTGAAACTTTGGAAGCCTGTCTTACTTTGTTTTTCTAGTTTTTCCTTCAAGCCCTTACTGAAAATGCTCCTTAATGTAATAATTGTTGCTTAGAGTAATGCTTAGAGCAAATCATACAGAATTATTTAAATATAAATTTGTATATAGGTGGTTAATTTAAATCATGTGTCAAATTCTTTGACCATTAATGCAAGTAAATTTACATAGATTTTTAGTCCCTGTACCTGTATTAATTTAAACTTTATTTTGTAATGGTCTCAAAAGTCTTTAGTATGTATTGGTTTACTTGTTAGTATTGAAGTGCATATACTTTTTGACCTAGAAAATACCATTCTCTTTATTATTCTCAGGAAATATTAGACAAGTGCATAAAGGTATATGTATAAGGATAGTTATTGCAGCATTGTTTGTAATGTAGGAGTAGAGACAAATAGTGATTGAGAATTGGTTATATAATGTTACCTCCATACAGTAGTGTAGACTTTTGAAAAAATTATATGTATTTTTGCACTTGAGAGATGCACATAATACCTTGAAAGATGTGAAAATACAAAGAAATTATGTGCATGTGTTTTGAAAAATACTTGTTTTGAGTCTAAGGATATGCATATAGTATTTCATAGATCCTTAGTTTGCTAATTTGTATATTTTTGTCATAAGCGTGTATTCTGTAATTATTCAGTAAAAACACAGTTCCATTAAAAAATTTGCTTTCTCTTTTATTAGGTGGTTCATTTGGAAGATTTGTTCAGAAAAAATTGGGAACTTTGAATCTGTGGGAAGATCCTTATCATCTCGTGAAAGACAATCTGAAAGCTGGTATTTCAATTTGTGAACAGTGGGTGGCCGCCTGTAATCACCTAACAGGTCAGGCGTGGCAGCGCTATGTCCCTCATCCATGGAAAAATGAGAAATACTTCCCTGAAACACTTGACAAACTTGGCAAACGCCTCGAAGAGGTATCATTTGATTACTTGGGTCTTTGACATAAGTATGGAGGGGGTTCTCACCTGTTTGTGAATATATTTTATAATTAGTAAGTAGTACACATCTGATAGGAGTTATTTATGTTTTGGGGAGAGAATAAGAATTAAAGTTCGTGTGAGATAATTTTTCGCAGTCATGTGACTGGTGCCCAACTAGCTGCTGGTTTCCACCTGCTTGCTTTTTCTTTGGTGTGTGACTGCTCACCTTGTAAGCTGTACTTCTCTGTTGTGAAAAAGATAATCAGCTCCCTGTCCAGGTATAGAAGCTCTCAGACATTCTCTTGGCTATTGAAATTGTGATGAAGCGGGGACAGCTTTTCAGGGAGTACTCAGTGGAAATATGGATGGAAGAACTGTTTAATCTACATAGGTTACAAGTTTCAGTATAGAACTTACGCATTTAGCTTGAGGGGCTAGCAAAATGAGAATATACAAAGATTGCAAAGCTGACTTTTCCCCTTCGTGCTCATAGTTCTTTGGGGATTTTTTAAAAAACCTTTTTCATTATGAAAAATTTGAAACATGCACAAAAGTGAAATAGTGTAACGAATGCCCGTGTATCCACCTCTTGATCTCAACAGCCACTGGCATTACTCAGTTTCTGTTCCATCTTTGTCTCCCTGCCTTCCCTTTTTTTGGAGTATTTTTAAAGCCAAGCCAAGAAACCATATACTTACACCCTTAAAACAACCACAACACCACCATCACGCTCAACAAAATGACAATATTTTCCTAGTATCATTTTGTATTTAACCAATGTTCAGTTGTCCTGATTGTTTCAGAAAATCCTTAGTTAGTTTACTGGAATCCGGCTGCTTGACGGGTGCTGCTGTGTGATCCCTACCCGATACGTCAGGAGGCACACAGCCTCGTTTTCCCACTGGCAGGGAGGTCAGTTTGCTCTTGGCTCTCCTTATGATGCTCTTCCTTCAGCTCTTCTAAGTGACTTACCAGCCACCGATGATCTTGAGCAGTTGTGACATAGATTCTCCAGTTCCGTTGTTCTTTCTGCATTACTGGTAACGACGGAAGAACTTTTTGTCATCAGTTTTTTAGTTACTCTGAATGGCAGTAGACACAATTACCTTTTTTCTTTGATTTATCACTTGTTAGAACAGTGAATAATAAGTTAGTTTCATAGTAAGTTCCATAGGCACTTAATGGAATGTTTTCTTGCTAGTATTATTACAAAGCCATGAGTTTTTATGAGTTTCAGTCTATCGTGGTTATTATTATCCTCAAATTGTTCCATCTTTGGGCAGTGAATGCCCATTTAAGTTGGCTCTTGTGTTATTTTGACATGAATCCAGTATTTCTTTGACAACTTCCTTACTTTTAGGCCCCCCCAAAATATACCAGCCCATCTTGGACATTTTTTGCCTCACTCCTGGAATTAGTCATTTCTCTCAAGAGCCTTGTTCCTTTTAGTGAAAATGGTATTTAGCAGCAACAATCTGGTTGGGAAAATATTGTCATTGATAACTTAGTTATCAATGCTTTTAGGCCTTCTCAGTAGACAGGGTTGTTACATTGGTATTTTTGTTTTTAGCAAGAAAAAAAATCAATAGTATATACTCCTCTTTCCATCTCAAATGAAAGGTTATAGTGTTTTTACTTAACCTTTTTGATTGCCTTTTAATTGTTGGAAATTTTATATATTTATTTTTAAATAGAAATACTACACATTTTATTCATTTAAACTATACACATTTTTTTTTAAAGTCGGCTGTACACCCAATGTGGGGCTTGAACTCACAACCCTGATATTAAGGGTCGCGTGCTCTACCAACTGTGTCAGGCAGGTGCCGCTCTTGGTGGAAGTTTTAAATACAAAATACAACAATTTGTTTCCCAGCTATTTGTAATTTATACATAATAGGGTTGTTAGCATATTATTTCATTGTCAGAGGTACAATTTAATGCAGAATAATGAAAATCAGAAGTTCTTTTTACTATATTAAGGACTCTAAAACGTTACTTAAATGAACTTAAACACAGTTTAACCGTATTTAGATTTTGTGTGTTTTCACCAGGTTTGAACACGTTAATTGATAGTAGCATTATGATGTAATGATGTCTTTGAGCACCACTTTGACTATTGATGAGTAGTAATTCTCAAGATTACAGTTTGTTGTATTCATTTCAGTGAACCTAGTTTAAAGAAACTCTTGCCAAATATATGTAGACTCTAGAACTATTTGTGCAGATTTATCAATTTAAATAAATTTGTTGTTTTACTATTTTATGTTTTAGGTTTTGGCTGTTAGAACAATTCATGAGAAACTTCTTTATTTTTTACCTGCCAGTGAAGAGAAGATCATATGCCTGACTCGAGTATTTGAACCTTTTACTGGCCTGAATCCTGTGCAGTATAATCCATATACTGAGGTACGAATATATATGTTTTTGTCTCTGTAACTTCCTGTTTGTATTGTTCTTCTCAAAGGTAAATATTGGAAATATTAAAAGTCTAATAATATTAATTTGTTTTAGCCTTTATGGAAAGCTGCAGTGTCTCAATATGAAAAAATTATTGCACCTGCGGAACAAAAAATAGCAGGAAAATTGAAAAATTATATTTCAGAAATTCAGGATAGTCCACAGCAGGTAAAATATTGAAATATTTTATTTTTACTATTTCCCTTAAGCTATTTTGGGAGATATTTATGTATTTACCAAGTTGATCGACTTAGGATGAACATGTACTTTTTTATTTTATGTTAGCTTCTTCAAGCATTTCTGAAATATAAAGAGTTGGTGAAGCGTCCAACTATAAGTAAAGAATTGATGTTAGAAAGAGAAACTTTGCTGGCAAGACTTGTGGACTCAGTTAAAGGTAAAAGTTTATGAGAGATTATAGTGTTTGCTTGAGAAAATATTTTTGTAGGTTACTTTTTCTTGTATACCATTTAGGATTAGGACTGTATTTTATAACATTATATGCTGAAGATTAATTTACTATATTTGTTATAAATTACAGATTTTAAAAATTAACTAGTTATTTTCTTTCTCTGTCTCATTTGATGCATGGTAAAGTCCCTGAGGGTAAAGGACCAAGTCTTAGAATTTTTCTTTCCACAACCTTTCACTTAGTACTTGGTGCATGGAAGGCACTTAGGAATCTTGATTGAATGTGTATAATCATTTATTTGACTTAAATTTTTACAGATTTTCGGTTAGACTTTGAGAATCGATGCCGAGGAGTTCCTGGTGAAGCATCTGGACCACTTTCTGGCAAAAACCTTTCGGAAGTTGTTAATAATATAGTTTGGGTTCGCCAGTTGGAACTGAAGGTATTAGTTTTAATAGATGTTGAGGAACACTAATTGTAAAATCTGCTAAATTAATATGGAAGGCACTCTAGAACTCTAGTGAAAAAATGAAAAAAAAATCTCTGCTTTCTTTGGCATTTCCGTCTAATTTTCATGTGAAGTGTAGAATTCTAAAAAAGTGTACAGGGGAGGTTTGAATGGTCCGCTCATTTTTTATGTAGAGATAACTAGCACATCCTTTATCATTCAGGTGCAGTTGTTCCACATAAAGTGCCTTCTTAAGAAAATATTGAAGAGGAAATCATCTTTTCTATATTTTCAAATGATTTTTTTAATCCTTTGAGATTATCACTGCAAAATCTTTGTAGTTGCAAAGTCTATCGGCAAGTATGTTTATGTAGGTAAATCATTCTAGGTTGAAAGGAAATTAAAGGAAAGGTGAAATGTAATTATGATATTGCCTAAGATTAGGGTCAGCAATTTATGGATTTAACAGCTACTATTTTAATATTTTGGTATTATCAAAATTGATCTAAGATTCTTATGTACAATGTCTTCCATCTGACTCACATAATGGTTATTCATTGGTTATGGTCTGTGATTAAGAGCAAGCAGACATAGAGTATTATAAAGGCTAGCATGTTGGAGAGTTCTACTTATTCAAGGTTGTGTTTTTGATGTTCTGTTTTCTGGAATATTCTATCCAGTTTTGTCAGTCAGCTTTCCAAAGTGCTATCACGTTCTGTGTACAGTTGTGGAAGAAAGACATTTCTTTCCTCTAATTGCCCTTCAGATTGGCAGGTATGTGTGAGCTCTTCCCCAGAGCACTAAGCAAAGGACCACATTATTGCTGCACATGTGTAAAAGCATTGCTGAATTCGTGGGGGTCTCACCTGAATCTCCCTCATCTCACCCTCCTGATTAGGCCTCGTATGCCTTACACCTGTGTTTTGCTATCCTGAGTTGTACAAGTCAGAAGCAAAGTAGGGGTTGATCTTCTCACATTTGCTGGCAAATCTTCTCTCCTACTGTTTATAGGTGAATGGGAAAGTAATTTCTGAAGAGAAGGTGGTTCGTTTTATGACAATTTTGTAGTAAGTATTAATATATTCTTGTAATATTCTTGTGTTGTGACTTTTTAAGGTGGATGATACTATCAAGATTGCAGAAGCTCTTTTATCTGACTTGTCAGGATTTCGATCTTTCCATCGAAGTGCTGAAGATCTCTTAGACCAGTTTAAACTGTATGAACAAGAACAATTTGACGATTGGTCCCGGGACATTCAGTCTGGTTTGTCTGATTCCAGATCTGGTTTGTGGTAAGTACAGGTACACTAAACAGTGACATCTGGGCAAGAATCTTGTTTCTTATGGTATTAACCGAATTTTGTCTGTTCTCTCCTTTATCCAAACTTGCTGCCGCTCCTTAAAAAATTTTTTTGTTAGTTTTTGATTATCAACTTTTAAGTCATTAAGGTTGGGAACTTGGAAGATAGAGTTAGTCGACTGCCCGCCTTGCTTCTTGTGTCTGTTTCTCAGGTCTGCAGATTCTCCTTTTAGAATGAGGCTTTCCTCTCCCATGGTGTGTTGGTATTGGTATTCATATATGTTTTTCTACCTTTTTACATTAATATTATTTACATGGATACACACACACTGTAAGCTATAAAATTTCATTATTTTAAGCTCCTTGAGGTGGGAAGTAATCTCTTTATGAAATACTACTTTGGTGCCCACCATAGGGTAAGGGTTTGGTAAACACTTATTGAGTGATATTGAACCTAATTTAATTGGTTAACCTAATTATTTTAATGCACATTTAAAATGGATGATCTGGAAAAATCATTGTTTCTTTGTTCAGGTAAACTTTCCTTAGTATATTACTGTATTTTTAGAAACTGGTCATGTTTTAGTTTTTAGAAACTTGTTACTTTTCAAAAAAGTAACTTGTTGCTTTGTCCATATTATGAAATTCTGTTTATTTTGCCTATACTGCTACAAAGAATAATTAGGCCATAAGAGGTAGCTTCTTAAACTGAATAAATAGTTTTTTTCCCTTACCTTGCATTTTGGATGTGGAGGAAGAAGAGAAGAACCGGAAGGTGCTGGGGTGTAATGATTCTAACCTTAGGCCATTGAACTCTTTCCCCTTCTACTATCAACCTAAAATATGACAGATACGCCAGACCTAAAAGAAGAGTTCTTTAATCAGCTAATTTTGGGAAATGTTGACAATTCTGTCACTGCAGCTCTGGTGGAGATCCACTCTGTGACAGCATGCCAAGGGATTGAGAACTTCTGTAAAGAAGTCTGTTGAATGCTGTTCAACCCAGTGTTTCCCATTTGGCCATGAAATACTTGGACTCCTGCTTTTTTTTTCCTGGGCAAAACCCTTTATTGTTCCATAGAATCAGCATGTTTTAGAATATATTTCAGGATATGCTGGTATGTAGAAAGTAGTTTTGAAGATTAGTTTCAAATAAAGGCAAAGAAAAATCACCATTAAAATTTTCTGACAGGCTGTATGTTATGTTATAGGAACGTTGAGGCTACATCATTATTCTAAGCCACTTTGAAGTATCTACTTTTTATTCTGCTTTATTATATGTGTTGGTAGATGGGTGGGATAGTTTTGTTCTTTGCTTTTCAGTAGCTTACTTTCTAAGACCTACGTTTTCTTAATTGTGAAAGTGATTTGAAGGAATAAGTATTATGTAAACCTGATCCTGTAAGGGAAGTCATGAAACTATAATACTTCTTGATTAATTTAGCTCAGTATTTTCACAATCATGCTGACTCGAGTGCCCTGATTTAAAAATTGCTATTATAACATTTACAAGAAACACGAAGGACAGTCATTAGAGAAACAAAAGTAGAGGAATGAAACATTTGAATATCTCTCCTCCTACAATTTTGATGTTCTTTATCATTGATCCTTTAATAAACACGTTAAATAACCAAGTAGGCTGACTAAAGAAATACCTAAGGTACCCTTTGGAAAATGAATCAAAACCTTTTCTCTTTATGGTGAATATGATGCCAGTTTTGAGTCTGAGTGGAAGGCTAAGAGATTGATTTTACTGATTTCAAAAACTGCTTGGTTGAAATATTAATGTGATGGTGTATTTTGGATATTGCAGTTTATTACCAAGATCTGAATTGTGAGATACTGTGTGAAAATAGGATTGCTTGAAAACTATAATTAAAATTTTTTTTACTTAGAGTTAATTTTATATTTACGGAAAAGTTGTAAAAACTGTTTCATTTTTCATCTGTCAAAAGAGTGAGAACATGAATTTTAAAAAGTTATTTATTTTATTTTGTAGTATCGAGGCTAATAGTCGAATTATGGAATTGGATCCTAACGACGGATCATTAAGAGTGCATTATTCAGATAGGTTGGTGATTCTTCTGAGAGAAGTTCGTCAGCTCTCTGCACTTGGCTTTGTTATTCCTGCCAAAATACAGCAAGTTGCAAACATTGCACAGAAATTCTGCAAGCAAGCAATTATTCTTAAACAAGTATGACATTATATTTTTGAATATATGACTATTCCGAGTTCATTACATTACAATATTTTAAGGGGTTCGTTTTCTAAATTTGAGTTTTTTAGGCTAACAGAATAGCACAAGTCTTTGGAAATTATGGTTTGCTAAATGACTACATTACAAAATTTACTTTGCAAATCTATATAGGAATTCATTAATTCATGGTATGATTGTTACTGTTATTCATTCTAAAAGCATTTGGAAAAATAAACTGTTATTTCTCTTTTTTTCCTTTTTCTTTCATGTTGTATGCATGGATCTTAAAGGACCTTCTAGTCAAAGGGCCCTCTGTCTTTTGCTTGCCTTCGAGGGGCAGATTCTTAGAGAATTACCAGGCTGATGGGCTGATCACTATTTTTGGCCATTTCATAGGTCTAGCTGTTCACCACTTTGCCATCATATCATTTTTCTATTTAGAACCAACTATTATGGCCACATTGTCTGTCTCCTTAGGGCAGAACACAAGGCCCTTCTTAATCATGCTCTAACTAACCTAATCAGCTGTGGCTTCCACTCCCTACCCTCTGAATGTGTCTCCATGCACGGATCTCTGTCCCCTCTTATTAGAAAACTCAAAGTCATCCTTTAATTCCCCACTCATAAGTCATTTCTTGTGTGTCTTTCTTTAGTTGATTGTTTCCTATTCTGTATGCAGTGTGCAGATCACTCTCGAATGCTTTATGGAGTACTGGATTTTTTTCATCTTTTCTCTCACTTGATTAATAGATCGTGGTGGGCAGGAATAGTATCTTAGAGGCAGGGGCAGTGTCTTGTGTATCTCGGTCTCTTGTTTATTCTTTCAGCAGAGATTCCCTGAGCACCTGCACTGTCAAGCACAGCATAGTGGGGATATAAAAATGAATATACTGCTATCATATTCTGGCACATGGTTCTCAGGCTCGGCACTGTGGACATTTTGGACCAGTTCTTTTTCCTGGGGACTGTCATGTGCGTTGTAGGGTGTTTTAGCAGCATCCCTGGGCAGGAGCACCTGTCTGCTCCTGACAGTCAGAAGTGTCTCCAGTCATTGCCAAATGTCCTCTTGGGTGCAAATCAGCCATGGTTGAGAACCACTGGTCTAGCAGGGAGAGCAAAGTAAACATTGAGTTCTCATTAAATATCAGGGCTTCTGGAGGATAGATTATTTATGTTATTTCCATTCAACCCCCCACTCCCTATTTTTCACTGATCGAATTGGGGATCACATTCGTAACATAGCTTTTCCGATGCCACACAGCTAATAAGTTATGTAGCTGGGATTTGATACCAAATCTGACTCCAAAGCCCATATTTATTCCATTACAGTTTATATACTGGTGACAGATATTTGAAAAATTGATAAAATATTTAATTTATTATGAGTATTTTATTAGAGATTTTTGGAAGTGCTATGAAAGCATAGAGGTGGGAATTTTCAGTTATTTGCTGGGTGAGGGTAGAGGGAGTATCAGCTAAATCTTTACAGAGGAATGCTGTTTGGTGTGAGACTGGAAGATTAGACATATGTTGTCTCAGGAGCACAAGGGGTAGGGTGGGTGAGCATTTCACACAGAGGGACTGCATCCTTAAAAGCAGAGAGGCTTGCTCACTTTTGTATCCCGTGTACTTAGTGTAACGCAATAGGAACTCAAACGGTGAAGGAATGGTCATACAGTTTTGTCTTTCCCCGAGGGAATCTATTTACGTAAACCTTTACTTAACGAGCGGGTGTGTAGCTGGCATAGGGAGGTGAAGTAGGAGCTGGTTAGATAGTAGTAAGACCAGATTGCTGGAAGAGTGTGTATTCTTCTGCTTCTCGTTTTCTTGATTAGGCTTTTTCTTGGACGACTACTGTGGTACAGAATAGTACAGTGGATATCCTCTACCAAATAAAGAGATTTTCATATGTACTAGTGGAAAGAAGAGGGCTCTCTATAAAATCAGTTAGGAGTTTTTTTTTTTTCCCCCTAAGAGAGAGAGATGTGCCCCTCCCAGGGGGAGAGGGAGAGGGAGGGGGAGGATCTTAAGTAGGCTCCACACCCAGCACGTGAGCCTGATGCAGAGCTCGATCTCACAACCCTGACACCATGACTTGAGCTGAAATCAAGAATGGGATGCTAAACCGACTGAGACACCCAGGCGCTCCAGTGAGGACATATATTTTAAGCACATACTCTGGGCTAAGAATTTTGTGAGGTGCTAGGGATACAAAGATTAAAAGACAGTCTTTTTAAACTCTTTAGACTCACGCTGTGGTGTCCACTTGATCCACTTCCCTGAACTTCTCCTTTTCCCCTAACAGAGTTGACAGTGGCCTCTTTTGTTCATCACTGTACCGTGCAGGTACTTCTGTTTTTTGATTTACTGATTAATCCAAGTAATACTGTGTGCCTTCTACCTGCTAGACACTGTTCCTGAAGCTGTCCTTCTCATTTGGGAGATCGCAGACACACAGGTCGGTAGTTTTAGGTAGTGATGAGTGCTTTGAAGAAAAAGAAAACAGGAAGATACAGAGTGGTCAGGGTAGGCCTTGGTGAAGGCTATAACACTGAGAAGAGGAGCGACAGAGTGGCAGCAGAACAATGCCTTCCCCCGCAGGCGTGTGGGGGAAGACGTGTGTGTGGAGGGAACAGATTCCATGCCGAGTTCCTGAGGCAAGACTCCCTTGGTGGCCTAGAGATGCAGCAGGGAGGCCAGCCTGGGTGCCATGCACTGAGGGTTTGTGCTGGGGCTGACGCCAGTTGATGTAAGATGCTGGTGCTGGGGGAGGGCCGTGGGTCTTGGATTTGGATTTTATTCCTGACTATATTGGGAAGCCATTGGGAGATTTTAGGTAAGAGTTTTGGGATTTTGGATTTTATTCTTAAATCCACTGGGGAGTCACTGGAAGTTTTTGAGTGGGCACAGGTATGGTATGATTTCTGTTTAAGGAAGGACCATTCGGGCTTCTTTGAATGCTTTGAGAGGACAGTAGGAAGCCATGACTGGAAACAGGCACTGGTCTTGTCAAGAGATGAGGCTGCTTGGACTGGTGTGAGACCCATGGAAGCGGGCGACATGGCTGGGTTTAGTATGTATTTAAGAGTGTAGTTAGTAGACATCATGGATGTGGGATGTGAAAGAAAAGTGAAGGACAACTCAAAGTTTTTTTGGTCTGAGAAATGAATAAATTACGTGTTATGTACTGAGAAAGGAAGAAGCAGGTTTGGAGAGTTGTAAGAACGAAGGGTTCCATTTTTAGCATGCTTTACTGGTTTCCTCTGTATTTCCCTTGATATTGTGAACTTCTTGATTGCAGGAACTGGGTTTTATGGTCTTTGTTTAATCAGCCCCCAGGACATGATTTGGCAAATCACAGGAACTCAACACATAATTGTTGACTGCGTATATTAATACATGCGTAATGCTATATTAGAGATGAAAAACATTTTTTTTAAATCTTAGCATGAGAAGAGTTAATATTTCCACTCAATTAAAAATGAAAACAGGGCGCCTGGGTGGCTCAGTTGGTTAAGCAACTGCCTTCGGCTCAGGTCAGGATCCTGGAGTCCCGGGATCGAGTCCCGCATCGGGCTCCCTGCTCGGCAGAGAGTCTGCTTCTCCCTCTGACCTTCTCCCCTCTCATGCTCTCTCTATCTCATTCTCTCTCTCAAATAAATAAATAAAATCTTAAAAAAAAAAACAAATGAAAAATTAAGTGTGTTATTTATTATTGATTATTGCTAATTGGACTTCTACTTTGTAGGTGGCACATTTTTACAATTCTATTGATCAACAAATGATTCAAAGTCAGAGACCAATGATGCTACAGTCTGCATTAGCATTTGAACAGATAATTAAGGTAAATGGACTTTTTGTGTTGTTAGAATTAGAATTTACATGTGAGGTATTTCTTTTTTTAGTTTTTTAGTATACCCTTCCACTTAACGTTGATCTAAGGCTTTATTTTGTTTCCCAGTGACTTCCTTCACTCTTAACAAGTAACATTTTTCCAACTGTAGATTTAAATGGTTAGTGTTTCACATATTAAGGTGCTGAGTTTGATCATTTGATTTCATATTTTATAGTATACAGTTGTTGTGCTATTATATTTACTTATTTGCTGAAGCGTGAGGTCCTTATATACCAGAGTCTTGAGTGCTTTTCCATCATCTCCTGATTTTATAATTTGGTATTTATTTATTTTTTTATTTATGTGGCCGTATCTAACCCATTTGGCATTAGAAAAACCTACAATAGTTTTTAAACTGTTACTATGTGACTGGTGGCTTTTTGAAATCTACATTTTTTGTCTTAAACATAAAATTTTAAAAAAATAAGTAGAAGAGGAATATACCCTTTTCTTCTTGTTCTTTTTAAAGTGGATTGCTAGTTGTGATCTTCCTCAAGACTACCCCCAGGTTCTGGGATTTTCTAGGAGGACTGATAGGATTCAGGGTATAGTTGTCCCCACAGCTGATTTATTATGATCTGTTACAGCAAGAGGATGCAGAGCAGAGTCAGCACAGGGAAAGGTAAATGAGGGTGAGGTCTTGGGGAAACCAGGCGCAAGCTCTCAAGAGTCCCTCCCAGTGGAGTCACACAGGGCATTCTTCACCACCCCTCCCCCAAGCCCCCAGCAACAAGCCGTCATAAGTGTGAAATGGTGTCTTACTGGGAAGACCATTAGCAACTCGGCGCCCAGGCGTTTACTGGGATCTAGACACGGAGGCGTCTTCTGCCTAACATGTACTAAAATTCCAGGTTCCCAGGAGGGGATCCAGTGTTGAGTGTAAACCATGTTGTTTCGGTGCAGCGAGCCAGTCGTAAACGTGGGCGGCGGGGGAGCTCCTAGGTGCGGGGGTCAGGTGCCAGCTAAGGGTCTGTGTTGGTAGCAGGCCTTTGGAGGGATAGCATGTAGACCTGCTCCGCTGACTCTTCTGCACACCAGGTCTCAGGCTGAACGTTTCCGACAAGGCACATAACTCATAAATTTTATTAAAAATATGTTTTTTATTGCCAAAGCTCAATACGAGTTTATAATGGAAAGTAAAAAAAAAAAAAACATTGACAAACAGAAAAAAAAATTGTTTTAAAATTGTACCACCAAGGGATGGCCATTGTTAATAGTCTGGTATATACCCTTAAACTTTTTTTCTGGGCATATTTACAAGGGCAGTTTTGGAAGTGGGATAAGATTTTATTATTTTCCACCTAATAGGTAGTGTTTAATTGTGTACTTTCGGAACTCTTTCTTCTCTAATCAGTGGCATCTGTTGATACTTCTGTGAGAGATTGGGTTGTGAGAAGTAAATAATTGCATTTAGCATCTGTTAAATGAGACTGAAGAGTAGATAGAAACTAAGAAGGACAAAGAACATGGAGGTTCTTCCTGGTCCCCTGGCCACTCACTGCATTGGAGAGCAGGGCCTCTAGTTTAACTAATTTCACAATGTCTAGTAATAACAGCAGGAAGTTGCGTGTGGTAATTACTAGGCAAATGCTTTTTCAGCTGATCCACAGAGGATTCTGTTGGATTTGTTATCCTTGTTAGTTTCATACATTTTTCAGCTATTGAGTGAGGGTCTCCTGCATCCCGCTCTAGTTTTTATGTATTTGTCCTAAGTGTGTAGTATCTTCTACACTCACTTCATCGAATAGGATTTAAGAAATTCACGAGAAGAAGGATACTTTATTTTCCTCATCCCTGTGTTTTCCTTTGCTTTTTGAAGTTCTTCTGAGAGGACTGCCTTTGGCCAGGCTTTAAGAGCACGTTTGCTGGAGACAAATTCTCCTGGTTTTCCTTTTCTGAGAATGTTTTTATTCCCCCTCTTTCCTGAAGGATGTTTCACCAGGTACAAAATTCATGGTTGGCAGGTCCTTCAACACTTGAAGAATGTGGTTCCATGTGTTCCTGGCTTCGTGGTCTTAGCTGGGGATTCACTGCGGGTTGAGTTGGTGGTCCCTTCTGTGTAGCGCATTGTTTCTCTCTGAAAAAGTGAACTGTAGCGTGAGGACTGGACTGGGTGAGTGTGTGTGCTCGGTGTTCTGCTGGGCCTTGCAGGTACCACGCCGATGATGGTGAAGCATGGCCTTGCGCTGCCTCTGACGAGGGGAGCAGGACCTCAGTGTCCCCTCTGGCCTCGCCGGCAGCTCGCAGTGCCCTGTCGCCCCTCAGTTCCTTCCTGAGCCCTGTTAATATGGCTGCGAGGAAGCACGGGGCTGGCTTGCGGCTCTTCTGCAGCAGATGGGGGCGGGGGGGGGGTGGCGGTGAGGCCCCGCTGGCTCTTCAGCCCCACCAGTGTTACCTTGGCGGGGGACTTGGAGCACGGCCTGCTTTGGACAAGCAATGGATGGAAGGTTGGCTCTCTGCAGAGCGGTGGTTTTTCTATCCATGTTTGGCCACAGTAGGGCGGGTTTGCTAAAAAGGTTTTCTTTTGTTAGGCCACTGTTTTCCTAGTCCATTGGCTAGAGGGAACAGGCTTCTTCTGTAGCTGTGTGTGTGTGTTCATTCCTGGAGGTAGCTCCAGGGTGGAGGCTTGTCCCCTGGCCCGTCCTGCATATTTGGCAGACAGTAAGGAAGCGTGTGGCTGTGTTTGCTCAGTTCCCCAGGCCTCCAGGTTGTCTGTCTCCTTCGGCTCCTGTGTGTGTGTGTGTGTGTGTGTGTGTGTGTGTGTGGTGGTGTCATCTAGGGTTGTTTCACTCTAAGAGGAGAACTTGGAAAGGATGGGGCTATTCAATTTTGCTAGACTGCCTTACCATTTATAAAAAGGAAAAATTACTATATGCTTTTTTATTGCAGATCAGTGTTAGGGATAACTGGACTTAAGATGTCTGTTGAGTCTTTAGGAAATGAGAAATGCATTGAAATGCTAAATGATGTTTGTTGTACCTTAGCATTCAAAAGCAGGAAGTGGGGGAAAGTCACAGATTACTTGGGATAATCCTAAAGAATTAGAAGGCTACATCCAAAAACTCCAAAATGCTGCTCAGCGACTTGCCACCGAAAACAGAAAACTGAGAAAATGGCACACTACGTTTTGTGAGAAGGTATGTCTTATTTATAGTGTTGCATAGGCTATGACTAGTATTATTTAAGTGATAATTGGGATATGATCTTAAATACGTTTTATTTTAAGTCTAATTTCCTAACCGATTTAAAGTTGCAGAAATAGCACGGAGTTCACACTTGCCCTTCGACCCCTCTGTTGTTAGCAACTTGTATCACCGTAGTGCGTTTATCAAAACTGGGAAGGATGGCTTTGAATTTTCCAGCTTCCTCGCCCGTGTCCTTTTCAGGCTCCTGCCTTGCACTGAGTCCCAGACGCTCTGCAGGCCCCTCCTCCTCAGGCTTTCCTTGGTTTCATGACCTTGATATTGTAGTTGTTTGTGGACTGCCTCTCCGTGTTTTCTTATCAGATTGGGGTGATGCAGTTTTGACAGAAATCTTACGGTGGTGCTGTTTTGTCTTTGTCAGGGTGCCAGTCAGGTCTTCGTGTGTCTTATTATAGGTTGAGCTAACTTGATCACTTGGTTAAGGTGCTGTCTGTCAGGTTTTTCCACTGAAAAGTTACTCTTCTTCCAGGGATACTATGAGACTATTATGCTTTAATTTTTGACAGGTGGTAGTTCTTATGAATATTGATCTGCTTCGGCAGCAACAGCGTTGGAAAGATGGATTACAAGAATTGAGAACTGGATTAGCCAGTGTAGAAGCTCAGGTGAAGTATGCTTTACTTGGTGTCTACACTTCGAGTATCACCTTTCCAGAATGTGAATCTGTAAATTGATGAAAAAACTTTAATGAATTCCTAATTTAGAATTCTACTGAATTACATGCAAAGACCACAAATTGGCAATAGATAAAAAAAAAGTTTCCATTTGTCTTATGAAATGTCAAATTTCTCAGTTCAGACTCTGTATTTTCTCTGACTTGGTGCTTAAATTTTATCATTCCTTAGTTTGCTTTTAGGTGATCGTGACATCCATAGAACACAAAGCTGAGTTTAGGCAAGAAGCCTAATAATTGAAATAGCTCTTTAAGTATGTTTTCCCTTTTTTTGGGTAAAATTTCAGTTCTATGCACATCTTGATATGAGATGATGTGTATGAGAGTGGTTAGCACAGAGCCCGCTGCGTGGTGGGTGGTAGTGGGATCCTAGCTGAGTATGAGTTTGGTGTCCCGCATAAGTACATGCATTTTTCAGTTCTCAGATCTTGAAGAAAAAACAAAAATTAAAGTATTAGAATCAAGATACTTATGGTTATATGGAGGCAAAAGAGTGTGTAAACTGTCCTGAGCATCCTCATATTTTAAATTTATCATTTTCTTAAAAATGTGCAATGGAGTGGAAAGGGAAGAGAAGAGCTGTATTTGATGGGAATTTTAGCAAGAGGACCAAGAAGTTCATAAAATAAGCCAGCTTCTGTTACTGTATTTTTTTTAGCATCATAAAATACAGTCCCCATGTAAAATCCACTTGGCATTAAGTCAATGTGTCCAGTTTTGCGGAGCTTTAGTGTAGTATTGAGGAGCCGAGAGACGTCCACGTCTGACTCCGTGAACTGCCTCACCACGCGTAGCAGCCACGGAGTTGCGTGCTGGAAGACGTTGAGATTGAGGGGTTTGGTTTGGTTTTTGCTTATAATTTTATTTTGTGATATAAACTTTAAATGGAAACTGCCTTCTACTACCTGGTTTTTAAGTAAAAGCTGTGGCTAAACCTTGTCAGGGGTTCCAGGCGAGTGACATGATTGCGTGGAGGCAGCACCTGAACCACCAGCTGTACAAAGCTCTGGAGCATCAGTACCAGGTGGGCCTGGAGGCTCTCAGCGAGCACCTGCCCGAGATCCGCGTGGACCTGACCTACAAGTAAGGGCGAGGCCCGGGTTCGTTCGCGGTCTGCGGTGTTCTGATACCTCTACTTCAAAGTTATTTACTTGTTTTTAGACAGGGACGGTTACAGTTCAGGCCTCCTTTTGAAGAAATCCGGGCTAAATATTACAGAGAAATGAAGAGGTTCATCGGCATTCCCAATCAGTTTAAGGGAGTGGGTGAGGCCGGCGATGAGTCTATTTTTTCTGTTATGATTGATAGAAATGCAAGTGGATTTTTGACTATTTTCAGCAAAGCTGAAGATCTGTTTAGGAGATTATCAGCTGTTTTACAACAACATAAGGTATGGAACATGTAATTTTCTGTTATTGTAACATTTCATCTGGTTGATTGAATCAGTATTAAATGTGCGATCTACAGTTTATCTTGTGTGTCGTAATATAAAAATACGGCAAGGCAGAGAGTCAGAGTTGAGGATTCGTATACAACCTACGTTTATACCACAGATGAGAAAAAAGTTATACTAAGATTTTTTTTGTCTTTGACTATTTGCAAATTGAGAAACTAGGTGTTGCATCAACATGGAATGGGACAGGATTCTGTCATGTCAATTTTAATTCCTCCTAGGAAAATATATCCTTTTCTTCATGCTTTGGATCGAGAGCAAAGCTTCGAGTGAAGCAATGTCATTAAGATGATGTAACTTTTGACTTTTGTTTGAGTGAATCCTACCAGCCCTCCAGAGATACTCCCCAGCTGCATTCCTTGCTCATTCACCGTTTGTGTTGCTCCCGAGACGGATGACTGAGAATTCAACCAGTTTCTTAACTGCCTTTGTGATGCTTCTTCTATAGTTTAGGTTTCTAGAATTGACTGGATCTGGATACTTTCAGATTTGGAGTGTTGGCTTTGCCAAAGTGAGTCTGTGTATACATCAAATTTGAGAAGAGAATCTTAAAAAAAGGGTTTTTGTGATCTCTTAAGAAAAGCTTTATGATCCCAGTACTTTTTTATATTAGTTTTTTCCCTCTGTTCATTCTTTAGGCTCTGCAGTAACGCCTTTATTTGCATACTTAAGTTGAAATTTACATGAATACCTTACATTTGTCCCTTTTTATCAGTGTTAGTAGTTGGACCCTAAGCTTTTAAATGTTAATATATTAGTACAGTTTCTTTACTAATAATGTTTTTCATTCTTTAAATAGGAATGGATTGTAATTGGGCAAGTTGATATGGAAGCTCTAGTGGAAAAGCATCTTTCTACCGTCCATGATTGGGAGAGAAATTTTAAAGCACTGAAAATAAAAGGGAAAGAAGTAGAGCGACTTCCAAGGTATTGGAAGTTAGAGTTGTATTTATATACCGTAACAGTTTCCACTACGAGATGAGAAGGGTACTCCTCCCTTGGTGGTGTCAAAGTCTGGTCACCTTCTTACCTCCTTTAAAGCTCAGCTATGACACTTGAGTATCATCAGAGTAGGATGTTGCTGAGACTAAAGAAAGTTTTTTCTAGAGGTTCTGCTGGCTGGGACCTAGCTGGATAGAGTAGACTGGGGGAGAGGCTTGTACGCAGACTCGGCATGTAGCTCCCACATCTGACTCTGGTTTGGTGTTGCTCTGCTTCCTTTCGGAACGCCCTGGCAGTCCCCCAGCATGGTGCTGCATCTGGGTGTTGCCCTTAACTGTGCAGGAGGCCCTCTGCGGGGCACGTCCTACCCAGCCGCTCAAGAAGGTAGCTCTCCCATCACTGTCTGCAATTCACATCCCTGGAACCACTCTCTGCAGTAAGCTCTATGAGAGGCCTGTTTAATTGTGCGTATAGTACCTATAAAGGATAATACCACTTTTACTAATTCATTTGCTCATTCTTTTATTAAATATTTGGTGAGCATGTGTAATATGCAAACCTTGTCCTGTGGGAATATAAAGTTGCTTTATACGCTAGACCGAGAACCTCAAGTTGCTTACTCTCTGGTAGTGCACGGAGACATGACTGAGTACGTCCACACGGGGGTTAAGGGAGTGGGCTCTGGAGTGAGATGGCTTGTACCAGCTCCAGGAGCTGGACAGCCATTGAGAGCCTGTGAACCTCAGTGTCCTCAGCTTTAGCATAGTTACAGCTGTAGTATTTATCCTAAAAGGTTTTGAGAATTCAGTGAGTAATTTGCATACAAAATTAATATTTTGTACAGATGAAGTTCTCAGTTAATGTTAGTTACTGTTAATTGTTATTATTAATACCGGGTGGAATAATCTGTTCAATCCATTTTATTTTTTTATTTTTTTAAAAGATTTTATTTATTTGACAGAGACAGCGAGACAGGGAACACAAGCAGGGGGAGAGGGAGAGGGAGAAGCAGGCTTCCCGCGGAACAGGGAGCCCAATGCAGGGCTCGATCCCAGGACCCCGGGATCATGACCTGAGTTGAAGGCAGACGCTTAACAACTGAGCCACCCAGGCGCCCCTGTTCAATCCATTTTAGAGATTGAACTGAAGACTGTGGAGATGTACAGGATGATGACATCCCATCCAGTTGGGGGCAAAATTTGGGAAAGTTTTCTTAAGATAGAAATCCTTGAACTAGAATTTTTTTTTTTTTTTTAAGATTTTATTTATTTATCTGACAGAGACACAGCAAGAGAGGGAACGCAAGGCGACTGGGTGGCTCAGTCATTAAGCGTCTGCCTTCAGCTCAGGTCATGATCCCGGGGTCCTGGGATCGAGCCCCGTATCGGACTCCCTGCTCAGCGGGAAGCCTGCTTCTCCCTCTCCCACTCCCCCTGCTTGTGTTCCTGCTCTCGCTATCTTTCTCTCTGTCAAATAAATAAATAAAATCTTAAAAAAAAAAAAAAGGGAACGCAAGCAGGGGGAGTGGGAGAGGGAGAAGCAGGCTTCCCGCAGAGCAAGTAGCCCGATGCGGGGCTCGATCCCAGGACCCCGGGATCATGACCTGAGCCGAAGGCAGCTGCTTAACCAACTGAGCCACCCAGGCGCCCCTTGAACTAGAATTTTGACAGCTAGGAGTGAGAATTGAAGGTTCGAGCAGAGATTTCCAGGAGAGGGATTTATATGCTGAAAATAAGAATTTGGTTAATTGAGAATTTGATGAATAAATGTTTTATTAGGAGCTAGAGGGGATGTTCCTGGAAAGGGTAATTAAGGAACAGATTTGGGAGAGTTTTCCATGCTAAGATAGGGAATTTGGATTTTCTTCATATTAGAGTGTTTAGCTATTGAAGATTTCTAGACAGAACTGTGTCAGTATTTGTACATTAGGGATGTTAATCTGGAACTTATGAGTTGTATGGTGGAAGAAATAGATCATGGAGGACGAGAGGTTAGTCTGTCATTACCCAGAAGACCGCAATAATTAATTGAAGAAAGTTGTTGGTACTCAAAATGGGGAGGAGGAAATAGTATGAAATATTGTTAAATACCTTGAGGTATTATGAGGTCTTATCTCTGGGGAAGATGAGGGATGAGGAATAGAGAAGGGACAAATGACTTGTGAGCTTGAGCTGAGATGATTTAGAGAATGACATGCTATTAATACTGGATTGTAATGTTTGTGTTTGAGGTTCTCTTCCCTGTCGGGTACTCTCTGAATCCAGGCTTGCTCATTCTGTTTGCCTGCTCACAGACCTCTGCCTTTTTCAGTACAATTTGTCTGTCCTTCAGTGTAGACAGCTTTCCTAGTCTGCCCGCCAAAGCTAAATAAAACAAAAAGAATGCCTGTCCTGCATTCCCTTTTCCAGTTTGCTATTTCTTGCTAATAAATTAACATGAGTTCATGTAAGCTCAAATACGCATTTACACACACACAGATAGTATTTCATGGGGACTTCTTAGAAATATGCTATGAGATTAGGAAAGTGATATTGTCATGTTGTATTTCGGATGCAATAGGAAGGATATGGTTTTGGGCTAGGCTGTCTAGGGCCATGCCATCCTGTCTGTGGCTGAAGGGACCCTCATTTTCATGTTACCAGTATTTTCAAGTGAAAGGTGAATTCAGTCTGTCCATGGGATTCTGTAGTCCGTGAGTACAACTCTGCTGCACTCAGACCACTTGATGTTAATTCATTAGCAAACTATGATATAATTAATTTCTCAGGTTTATTAAAATCATTTCTTATCAGGTATTAGAAATCTTGACATTTTATGTGTCACCGTTTCAGTAATTATATACAATTTCATGTATTAAGCAAATTGGCTCTTTTGTTTTGCTGGTGAAGACCTGGAGTTTAAACCTTTGCAGTTAGTGGGTGATAGAGAATAAATAAAGCTTTAAGGGAAAGTTATGTTTTTATAATAGAAGTGAGTATTTAGCTCATGTAATTTGCCGTCTGAAGTGTCACCTGGCTCTGTGTTTCAAAAAGGATGAGAAGCTTCCTAAGTAATCTTTGTGACATAATCTCCAGCCTTCTCTTAACTTTGCATAGTTTAAGATAAATATGAAGTTTCCTCAGATGAACAAGTCTGGTTCCACTTCTCTTTACGTAGAACATTACAGTTTGTGTGAAGGATACCGTGCAGTTAGCGTTCTTTTTTTTCCAATCATTAAAACAGTACATTTGCTTTATAAATTTTTTAAAATATAGAAATTGCTCTGAATATTTGATGTTTTAGATATATTAGTACATAAAAAATTTGGGTTTTACTGTATCTTGTTATTTAACACTAGTCTTCAGTATTTTGTCTTGTTATTACCTAGTCCTCAAAAAACTTGATTTTTAATTGTATGGATATATAATAATCTAGCCATTTTTGTATTTAACTTGTTTCTAATTTTTCACTATTATAATTGATGCTTTGAAGAAGATACTTGTGTATATTTCTTGGAATATGCTCTGGAAATTTCCTTAGGATAAATTCTAAAGGTGAAGTTAATTAAGACAAAGAATATGCCTATTTTAAAATTACTTGATATATGGGTAAATTGCTCCTCACAAAAGTGCATGGTTTTATACTCTGACCAGCAGTTCTGAGAGTTCTGTTTCCCCACACAATTGAAGATATGAATTAACAATTCATTACATTTTTGTTAATTTGATCGGTATTAAATGATATCTTACTGTTTTATTGTCTTAGTGCCTTAATAATCTATATTCCCCTTCTGTTTTTGTTTTCTTTCCCTTATCATTATTGTTTGTATTTGCAGAATAGTGAATTCATGTTATATTCAAATAAGTACATTACAATTACACACTGTGACAAATTAAAGGGCTTGTAAATATTTAAATATATTCATGTGAGACTCTTAAAAAACTATTATTATAACAAAATGATTGTTTAATGAAAACTTCGTAATAGTATGTGGAAAGCATTTTTACTAAATGAAATCTAAATGTGCTTAAAGATCACAATAATACTTTCTGATTTACATTTTGAAATGTGTGATAAAATCGTTATAACAAGATTCTTTTCCTCTAATAAGTCTTTTTCATGTCAAAGTATGTCCATTGGCATTTTTCAGTGTGGTCAAGGTAGATTGTTTAAATATTAATTGTAACCCTGTGAAGACTGTGATTGATGATCTCATCCAGAAGTTATTTGATACGCTTGTTCTTTCTTTGAAGAAGTCCATCCAGGGTAAAGATACTCTTTAATTTTTATTTTAACTTAATTTTATACATAAAGGCATATACTTTGATAATTAGAAATGTAAATCCCAGTGATGATTAAAATCAACCAACCTAGAAAGTATTATGAAATGAAGTGTTCTTAAAATGATAATTTTAATGAAGTAGGAAAGTCCATATCCAACTCTTAAGAGGTCTAAAAATGGAAGGCATTTTTACTATTTGCCATATGCGCAAGTATCAGTTTGTTGTATATGTTACTGAGAAAGGTAGTAATTCTGCTAGAATGTAGTCCTTCTTTCAAATTACTACCGTTTTCCAAAATCCCGCATTGTTTCTTTTTCCATTAAACTGAGACGTGTTAACAAATTATCTAAAAGACTGGAAAAGTTACCAATTTTGAGCAAAATTTACTAATAATGAGTACATTTTAACTTCCTCAAAATTTTGAGGTATAATGTGAAGCAGCTAAACATCCATGACGAGAAATTTCTTTGCTCATTCTGTATTTTAAAATTTCGTTGTATGAGCAAATAAAAATTTAAGATTTAATGTATGCTATGTAGTGATGACTTCTAACACTCTTTGATTTTAAAATGATGCAATGGAATATTTTTGGTGATAATAACATTCTGTTTCAATGTCACTTACTCAGCTCACCTACATGAAATTGATACGTTTGTTACTGAGGCTATGGAAGTTTTAACAGTTATGCCCCAGTCTGTGGAGGAGATCGGCGATGCAAATTTACAGTATAGTAAGCTACAAGAACGGAAACCAGAGGTGAGGATTGCAAAGTAAAGTTATCAGTTTATTTGTACTGTACTGGAGATGTTTTTTTTTTTAATTTTATTTTATTATGTCATGTTAATCACCATATATTACATCATTAGTTTTTGATGTAGTGTTCCATGATTCATTGTTGAGATGTTTCAATTAGGTAATATTATGTGACTATTTAGAAATATCATATGATTTCAGTATTGTAAGAGAGTCTGTATTATCTGGTCCAGTTGGTCAGCTCATGATTGGACTCTTGGTGGTACGTTGGTGCGGTGAGACAGTGACAGTCCTACTTATTACTGTCTTCAGGAGTACTCACAGTCTGTTTTATGATGTGCCGTGTTAGAATCAGACTTTCCTTAAATAATTCATGCTGTTACTTCCAGGGTTGTAACTTTAGGATGCTGGAGTGTGAGGTTAGAGCTGAATTTAGGACTATACACACACACACACACACGCACACACACACCCACACGCACACCCCCCCCCCCCCCCACACACAATGCACATACACACTCACATATAGAGTGATGATATTATGG